TACCTAAGGGGGCAGAATAGTTAGAATGAACGACAGGTTTCTCATTTAAAACCATGGAGGCCAGAAGGACATAACACAACCTTTTTCAAGTATTCAAACAGATGAATTTTCAAGCCAAAATCCTGTATCGAGAGAAAATATCCTTTAGGAATGAAAAGAAACCATTACATTCTCAGGCAAAGGAAAACTGAAAGAATTTGTTTCTAGCAGTCCTACCCAGAAAGATGGCCTTTTAAAGGAAATTCTTTGAATAGAAAGGAAATCTAAATTAAAGAAGAAATGTGGGGGGGCTTGGGTTGTAGCTCAGTGGCAGAGCGCTTGCCTAGCACCTGTGAGGCACTGGGTTCGATCCTCAGCACCACAGAAAAATAAATAAATAAAATAAAGGTATCATGTCTATCTACAACTAAAAAAGAAATATTTTAAGAAAGAAGAAATCTTGGAATAGTAAAGAGAAAGAACATGATGAGTAAAAATGTGTCAATCTGTAGGAGACGTCCCTCAACAACCACAGACTTCCAAAATTCAACCAGAATGAATTAGATAACCTGAATTGATCCTATAAACATTAAGGAAATTTAATTTGTAAAATTTAAAAGCTCTGAAAAAGAAACCTTCAGGCCCAGATAATGTCACTGGAGAATTCTACCAAAGATTTAGAGAGGAATGAAAACCAATTTCATACAATCTCTTTCAGAAAATTTGAGGAAAGAACACTTATCAGTTCATTTTATGAAACTAATAACCAAACCAAGAAAGATACTAAAAAAGAAAACTGTAGGCCAGTATCCCTCAGAGTTTAGATGTAAAAGTCCATCCCAAAATATTACATATAAAATGACTTATATATCATGAACAAGTGGAATATATTCCAGTCATGCCTTCTGGCTCACTGTTGGAAAAATCTATCAGCATGATCTGCCCTATTTCAGTCACAGGCTAATAAAGAAAAATTACATGACCATATGAATTCAGAAAAAAACACCTGACAGAATTCAATATCCACTGGGCATGGTGGCACACACCTGTAATCCCAGCAGCTCCGGAGGCTGAGGCAGGAGGATTGCAAGTTCAAAGCCAACCTTAACAACTTAGCGAGGTGCTTATTAGCAACTCGAGACTCTGTCTCTAAATAAAATACAAAATAGAGCTAGGGATGTGGCTCAGTGGTCGAGTGCCCCTGAGTTCAATCCCTGGTTACCCCCACCGCCCCACCCCCACCCAGCAAAAAATCAGTACCACCCATGAGAACTCAAAAGAGGAACAAAGAGGGAACTTCCTCAATTTAACACAGAATACTTACCCCAAGAAATCCATAGTTAACACTACAATTAGTGGTGAAAGACCTGAATGTGTTCCTCTAAGACTGTTATTCAACTTAAAGATTGAAGCTTCCAACAGTGAAGTTAGACAAGAAAAGACATACAGATTGGAAAGTCAGAGATAAAACTGTCCCTATTTTCAGATGAATGTCTTATTGTCTTTGTTGAAAATCCCAAAGAATCTTAAAAACAGAAAACCCAAAGTGGGAAAAAACCCTCCTTGGATGAGTAAGCTCAGAGAGGTCACAGGATCCAAGAGCAGTGTACCAAACTCAGTTCTGTGTCATAGAGTATATATACTAGAGGAAACATGTGGACCTCTGAATTAAAAATAGCATACCATTTACAATTTACTCAAAAGGAAAAATGAGAAATTGGTATAAATCCAATAATGTAAGTATAGAGCTTATAGAGTACAAACTACAAAAATAGTGATGAAGAAAGAAAAGATCCAAGTGGAGAGACATTCTGTTTCACATGGATTATAAAAGGTCAAACAGTGAAGATGTCCGTTCTCCCCAAATCATCATGTCAGCACAATTGCTGTTAAAATCCCTGCAGTGGTTGAGTGTTTGCCTAGCATGCTTGAGGCCTTGGTTCAATCCCTAGCACAGCAAAAAAACTTAAAAAATGAAAAAAGAGAGAAACAAAACAAGAATAACAAAAACTCAGCAAGCATTTTCGTAGATAGAGGCAGGATTCTTCTTTGAAAAGGTGTATTAAGGTGCGTATCTGCATGGTGCGGCATGTGCCTAGCCTGCTTGAGGCCTTGGGTTCAATTCCTAGCATTACCACAAACAAAAACAAACCCACCACTCTTTTTCCTAAGATCTCTTTCTTCTAAATTTATCAAAACAAGCCCCCCAAACAGTCCCAAGCCAGGCCATGCTGTCGGTTTTACTTTGTGCTACCCGGTGACCTCAGACAGATAATCCATAGAGTATAGTATTTCTCTTCTTGTCCCTGTCAGGGGTCATTTATGAGAACTTGGGGACTGGATTTTACTTCAAAGATGTTTTGAAACAAAACTTTTTGTAGCTAAGAGGATGAGAAGACAAGCTAAAATGTTTGCAATCCACATATCCAGCCAATTGCCTGCACCTAGAACATCTAAGGAACTTGGAAAGCTCAGTAGTTGAAAAATGAATGGTGACAACAACCACTAAAAATTCACCTAACCATCCAGTCAGAAAATGGGCAAAAGACAGGAACATTTTCACTGAAGAGAATATACAAATGCATAGAGGCATATGAGAAGCTGGCTCAATATTGTTAAACATCAGAAAATGAGAATTAAAACCAATACCCTATCAGGGGCTAAAATAAAAACTAATGATGACAAGCTGGCGAGGATGCAAAGAAACTGGATCTGGATCACTTCTGTTTTGCAGGTGGAAATGTGAAGTGGTATAGCCATGCTGAAACACGTCTTGGCAGTATCTTTAAAATCAAAATGAGCTGGGCACAGTGGTGTAAGACTGTAATCCCAGCAGCTCAGAGGCTGAGGCAGGAGGATCACAAGTTCAAAGCCAGCCTCAGCAAAAGCAAAGTGCTAAGCTTCTCAGACCTTGTCTCTAAATAAAATACAAAAATGAGTGCCCCTGAATTCAATCCCTGATACCCGCTTTCCCTAAAATCAAAATGACTAGCTGGCATGGTGGTACACACCTGAAATCCCAAGAGCTTAAGAGGCTGAGACTGGAGGATCACAAGTTTCAAGTCAGCCTCAGCAACTTAGAGAGACTCTAAGCAACTTCATACCCTGTCTCTAAATAATGAATAAAAAAGGCTGGGAATATGGCTCAGTGGTTAAGCGCCCCTGGGTTCAATCCCTGGGACCATAAAACCAAAACAATACAACCAAACATGCAACTATAATACAACCCAGCAGTTACACTCCTGACATCCCAGAGGAATGAAAGCTTATTGTAAAGGAAAACCTTTTTCTTTCTGTGTCCTCACAACTATGGAAAACTATTTCAACTCAGTATTTTATTTACTTCTGGTCACCAAACTGTAAATTTTTTCTCACATTGACCATTATTCCAATTTATTATTCAGCAACTGCATGTCTTGTATTTCAGTTTGATTCTGACACTGTCTGGAGGCAGCACAGGCACCGTTCGTTAAGGGCTCAGTCCTTAACTGTCCCCACTTCATACACCAGTCATAAGGAGTGGGTCCTTAGGTTCACTCACAATTTCTTTCTGACTTGGCTACAAAGTGGAGGTCACCGTGACCACCTCCACCTCCTTAAGTTGAATCAGTTGTTAGTGGGGCTCACAGAACTCAGGGAAGCACTTACTCATGTTTACTGACATAATACCGGATAAAAATGGACACCAGATGAGGAAGTCTATAGAGTTAGGTTCAAAAGGGTCCTAAGTGCAGGAGTTTCTGTCCCTGTGGAGTTGGGACGGGCCATCTCCTGGCACATGAATGTGTTCACCAACCCAGAACCTTCTTGAACCTCACATCTCAGGGATTTTTATAGAGGTACTATCAATACTCATCTCTGGCTTCTTCTTTTCTTAAAAGGAAGAAGGTGGGGCGGGGCTGAAAGTTCTAGGCTTTTAATGACAAGTCTTTCTGGAGTCCAGCTTCCAGGTAGGAGCCCACTAAAAGTTGCCTCATTGCAACAAAAAATGCTCTCACCCCGGAAATTCCCAAGAGGTTTAGGAGCTTTGAATCAGGGACTGGGTTGAAGACCAAACATTGGAGCAAAAGGTACTCCTACACCTTTAGCACTTAGGGAATTACAAGAATTTTGGGAGCTCTGTGTTGCAACCAGGGATAGGTAATACATGCTCACACATACAGTTATTATTATTATTATTATTTCACATTTATGTTCTCACAAACCTATATGTGAATATTTATGGCAGCTTTATAAGTAAGAGACAACTGTAAACAACCCAGATGTCTTGAATGATTAAATAATCCCAGAACATGGAGTATTACTCAGCAATGAAAAATAAGTGTTGTTATAAGCAGCAACCTGGATGAATCTACAGAGAATTCCTAATGTAACATAATTTGAAATGGTGAAATGGTCGAGATGGAGAATAGATTAGTGGTTGTCAGGGGTAAGAAGAGGGTAGAGTAGGAGGGAAGTGGATGAGACTCTGAAGGATCCCTGTGGTGTGTCTTGATCCTATCAATGCAATACTTGGTTGTAATATTGTACTGTACAGTATTGTACAGGAGTTTTGTATGATGTTACCATGGCAGGGGATACTGAGTAAAGGGTGTTGTATCTTACACCTGTGTGTGAATCTATCTCAAATGAATTTGCTTCATTATGTTAAAATAAAAAAATGGAATTGAAAAATGATCAAATATGTTTTTTTAAAAATGTAATCAATACAGAATGGTGTTTGATGAAAAATGAGCCTTCTTCCTCCCCCACATTGCTTCCCTTAAGGCAAGTTCTGCTGCTGGTTACCAACCACATTGTGTTTCACCATTGTCTGAATTGCTGTATTTCAGAATTGGGTGTTGCTTATTTAACATGGACAAAATTAAGGCTTTGGACCTGTCTGATTATCCTGACCATGACAATTTGTCCGTGTCTCACGTGGGATCCACAGGGCATGGTCCCATCTCTCTGTTCCCTGAGAGAGGCAAAGCAGGTGATGGCTGGCCCAGCTTAAATGTGCTTGTGTGAACTCTTGACAGGAATCGAGCCCACTGGGAACATGGTGAAGCAGCCAGCCAAGTTCACTGTGGACACCATCAGCGCCGGGCAGGGAGATGTGATGGTGTTTATCGAGGACCCAGAAGGGAACAAAGAAGAGGTATGTTGGAGGACACTGCCTCTCCCATCCAGAATCCCCTGGAGACTAGGGATCTTTAACAGGTTCAGGGTCTGTGCCTCTGTTTTCTACATTTTAGCTCATAATGAAAATGTTCTTTATCGAAAGGATTCTGAAGCTCACAGTGGCTAAAGTAACTTTCCTGAGAGCTGTGCTTTGAAATATAATAGAAAAAAATTCTATTCCCAAGGGCACAGTGTTTATTAAATAAAGAATGCTTTGGATTTGGTAAAGACCTTGTTAATTGATTGAGGTGTTAGATTCTGGGGATTCTTGCTCCATTCACTTTCTTCCCATACTGACCTGTCTTTGGGTCCTTTCTTAGGGCTTTTGCACATGCTCTTCTTGCTATTTGCTTATTTTCTTAGGACCATACTTTATTTCTAGCATTTAGCACAATCTGAAATTCTAAGCTTACTGATGTATTATCTATTTTTCCCTCTGGGGCAGAGACATGCCCAACTTGCTTATTGTTTTATCTGGCATTTCATAAGCTCTTAATAACTTCTGAGCTGACAAAGATTTGTGTTACTTGCTTCGTGTTCTGTCTCATCTGGACAGTGCCAGCCCTGAGACAGTGAGTCTTGAGTTGGTGCCGCCTGGTCTTGTTGCTATGACTTTGGGCTGCTTCTCTCCTGGCGTCCTCTGCAGGAATGGTGGGGCAGGAAATAGCAAGCGCCTCCAGGGTTCCTGCTCTGCCTGCCTGCTGCAGGATTTGGCTGGCACAGCATGCTCTTTACTTACTCCCAGCACCTTCTCCAACTAATTTTCATCTTCCTTCCCAGGCACAGGTGACCCCTGATAGTGACAAGAACAAGACATACTCTGTGGAATATCTGCCCAAGGTCACTGGACTGCACAAAGTAAGAAGAGACGCCATGGCTCTGGCTTGGGCTGCTGTTTTGGCCTTTTTTCTTTGGGTGGGGGGGATATATGCACAAGAGAGTTTAGGAAGTAGAGTGTTTTGGGTTGTGGTGCTAGAGGTTGATCCCAGGGCCTCTCTACCACGGAGCTATACACCCCAGCACAGAAGAGTGAGGGTTTTTTGTGTGTTTGTTTTGATTTTTTTTTTTTTTTTTTGTGGTGCTGGGGATTTTACCCAGGGCCTTGTACTTGCAAAGCTGAGCTATATGCCCAGAAGAATGCTTTTCTTGAGTTAACGTCAGTTATTGAAATATCCTTGCTCATTGTAGATAATTTGGAATCCCTGTGAATCAGTCTTGAGATATTAGCCAATTATTCTTAAGATATTAGCCATTGTTGAAACCCCACAGGCAAGTTCTTTGTAATGTTATAAGATCCATCTGGACTCCACCTCTTGGTGGCAACTGAATGAATGCCTGGAGTGTAGATGCTACAGTGACTAAGCTGTGGGCTCTTGGTCCTTAGTGCTTCCTTGAATTCCCCTTTGAGGTAATCTGGAGGATCTGTCTACATTGAAACTTGGGGATTGAGGAAATGGCCCACTCAGCCCCTGGAGAAATGACTTCGATGGAGCCTGCAGGCCCTTCCTCTCAGTGCCTTGAGTTCTGTCTGAGATGGTATCCTGTGGCCCCGAGGGCAGAGTCTTCAGACAGCCTGCATGGTAGGAGACTTGGATGATGCAGGAGTGTGCCCTTCATTGGAAGGAAATTCTCAGCAGCACACCAAGGCCGATCCCTGTATACCAGGCCCAGATTGAGACATAGACACTACTTATTATCTTGGGCTTTGGTGAATTTACCCTGAACCTTGGCCTTAGGTTCTTCTTATACTCCTAGAGCATCATGAATTTGACAAAAGAGAAATCTTGAAGGGAAGCATTTATGATGTCATTCATTCATTCTAGCCAATCATGGGTTCACATGAAACCCAACCCAAATCCCTTGAACAGCATCAGTCAGAGAAATATGACTCAAATTTCAGATGGAAATTACTGTACTTTGTCCCAAATCCGTGTATCTAAGAATGATCTTGTTCCCTTGGAAAACACTTTGGCTCTGGGTTTGAAATCTTGGGACTGTGCATTAAATTCTGGGAGAATAGTGGCCTGTTCTACAGCCCCTTATTCATGTCTAGAGATTCTTGTATAAGTGGTTATTAATTTCCTTTTAGAAAGGCTAATTGTAGCTGGTGTGTGTGTGTGTGTGTGTGTGTGTGTGTGTATTGCTAAAGGCCTGATATCCCAGACACAGCCTGAGGCCAAAGGAGAAGGTGTGGTACTCACTGAGGTTGCTTTACTTTTCCCAGGGTTCCTGGTTTCAGCTCTTTTTGTGTGTAGCCTTGAGAAGGTGGAAAGAAGGTCATCAGTGCATGAAGCTTGCTAGTGGTCTTATGAGGCATATGGAGAAGGAATTATAGCTTACTTCTTTGTCATTTGCAGGTCACAGTCCTCTTTGCAGGACAGCACATCTCCAAAAGCCCATTTGAAGTGAATGTTGACAAAGCCCAGGGAGACCCCAGTAAAGTGACTGCAAAAGGCCCAGGTTTGGAAGCTGCAGGAAACATTGCTAATAAGCCCACCTACTTTGATATCTACACGGCAGGTAATATGCCATTCCTCCATGGATTGAACTTTTGGACTTTCTTCCAAAGCCTGAAATATAATCCTCAGGAATTTGAAGGCTTGAGATAGCCTATTTCTTACCTTTTGGGGAGGGTACCAGGTATTGAACTCAGAGGCAGTTGGCTTCTGAGCCACACTCCTAGCCCTATTTTGTATTTTATTTAGAGAGACAGGATCTCAATGAGTTGTTCAGAGCCCCACTGTTGCTGGCTTTGAGCTCCAGATCCTCCTGCCTCAGCCTCTGGAGTCGCTGGGATTATAGGCGTGTTCCACCATGCCCGGCTCCTCTTGTCTTTTAGATTGAACAAACAAACAAAAAACCTTTTTTCCAATGTGTGAGTTGCATTTTTCAAAAATCAGCTTTTCTTTTTGAAAGACTTATCCTCAGGTTTGACTTTGATTAATAATCAATTTCTTTATGCGGTTCTGACTTCACCAAATTTTCCAAAGACACTAAAGTTTAATAATCATCTACTAGACCAAATTCTGTGTAAGGTCTTGCAGGGGGAAAAAGAATGAATAAGAAATTTTCTTGAATTCGTTGACCTTCTTTTCAATTTAGAAAATAAAGAAATGTGAATCAAAGAGAAGTTCAGCACTAGCCCCGTACACCAAGATCACAGCTGTGAATACCTTGGCGTTACCTTCCCAAGTGTCTCTCTGACCCCTTTTGTTTGCATTTTGCACTGGTCAGTAATGAGTTTTCTGAGAGCGGGGAACTTGAGCTCATGAAATGCTTGCTCTTTCACAGGAGCTGGCGTGGGTGACATTGGTGTTGAGGTGGAAGATCCCCAGGGGAAGAACACAGTAGAGTTGCTTATAGAAGACAAAGGAAACCAGGTGTATCGATGTGTGTACAAACCACTGCAGCCTGGCCCCCACGTGGTCAAGGTCTCCTTTGCCGGGGAAACCATTCCCAAGAGTCCCTTTGTTGTGCAAGTTGGGGAAGGTGAGTGCCAGTGTGGCCAAGTACATTTGTCATAGATATTGGGTGTGCCTGGACACTGAGGCCTTGAAAGTGTCTGGGGCCTGACACTGAGCTGTCCTCTCTTCTCTTTCTGCTAGATCCACTTCCATGGGAAATGACTTCTTTTCCTCAGTATGTTAATACTAATACAGTTTCTGTCACCGTGACAAAACACCTGAGATAATAAAATGAATAGGAGGAAAGGTTTACATTGAGAAAAGGTTCACTGTTTCAAAGGTTGCATTCTCTGGTTGCTTGGTTCCATTTCTTTGGGCCTGTAGTGGCACAATATATCATGGTGGGAGTGTGTGGCAGAGGAGCTGCTTACCTTGTGGCAGCTGGGAAACAGAGACAGTAAGGGGCTGGGATCCCAGTAACCCCTTCAGGGAGACATCCCCAGTAACCTAACTTTTTCCTGCTAGGTCCCACCTTATAAAGGTTTCACCATCTCCCAAAGAGTGCCACAGGTTGGAGACCAAACTTGTGGACTTTGGGGGGGACATTTTAGATCCAATCCATAGTACAGAGTGAGCATCTCTAATCCAAAAGTCTAAAAAATCTGAAATGCTTCAAAACCCAAACCATTTTAAGAACTGACATGATACTCAAACAGTTTCAGATTTTGGAGCATTTTGTATTTTCTGATTAGGAAGTTTCAACCAGTAAAGTTGATACAAATATTCCCCAAACAAGAACAACAATAGAAACCCCCTGAAATCTGAAATGGTTTTGGCCCCAAGCATTTTGGAGGTGGGATGTTCAATCTGTATCTTCTATGAGCCACACAGAGACCTAAGTATATTAATTTGAGTTAGCTCAATTAATGAGTTAATTCCTCAGAACACTCCTACAGAGGAGTTGGCACCTGTGATGGAGTTGGCAGCGGCAGGTGCCCTGCAGCCTCCTTCTCTTGGCCTTGGCTGGCTGCCAGGCACTTAGCATGACTGCATCTAATCGTCACACCAGCCTGTGTGCTACAGGTGCTGTTACTAGTGCCAATTTACAGGTGGAGATCCTGAGGCTTGGCTAACACAAGGTATCAGCCCTATGAGGTGTCGATAAGAGTAGCTGTGTGGTCTCTCTGGACCTGCCTTTAACCACTCTGCTGAACTCCTATGCAACCAGGAGCATACATTTTCCTCTAATATAGACTTTCTCCTGACTTGGTTGCTCTTTTTTGTTGGTTTGTTTTCCAACTCTGCTGCCTTTTCTAACCAATACTTGCCTTTCCCTGTTCTATCCTCCACATCTGCATCTGCAGACTTGGCTTCTTCTTCCGAATCCTGCCTCTGGGCCAACCTGGACCCCGAAGCTGTTGGCTTCCTAGTTGTGAACACTGGGCCAGAGGCTTTTGCTTGGTAAGGGCTGGTTGGGTGGGGCGTCTGTGCCAGTTCTTTGTGCTTCTTGTTATCATCAGCTGAGTCTGTGCTGTTTGTGTGAGTTTGTTTCAGGAAATTCCTGTGCAGGTGTTATTACAAATTGCACAGCCAGACCCTAAGCATACTCTCTAATTGCATTTAAACATACCTAAGGCTTTGCAGGATGGCAGAAGATCTGGTGGTTTCTTTCAAACTCTGCGACTCCACTTATTGTTTACACGAACAGAGCAGTTACCCTTTTGATGTTGAGGCTTCTGCATGTATTCAGAATTTCCATGAGTGTGTATATATATCTTTTAGGACACATTTAAGACTTCTGAGGAAGTCCTGTCATCCTGTTGTGACTTATTTCTGGTGTGACCATCTTTTCTTCTTTTGATAAAGAAAAAAACCCCAAAATGTCCAACATATTCACAAATAAAACTCTTTTTAATATAAGGAAAGAAAGAATTTGGGACAGTGTTCACAACTCAACTAGTGTTCCCCAAACTATTCTTACCTCGTGGACTGTCCTTGTTTCTGGAACATCCATTCCACCCATCACTTATATTATGCAGTATTTAATCAGTAGACCTTCTCTTTTGATTTTAAAAAATTATTTTGGTAGTTATAGATGGCTAGCATGCCTTTATTTTATTTGTTTCATTTTTATGTGGTACTAAGGATTTAACCCAGTGCCTCACACATGCTAGGCAAGCACTCTGCCACTGAGCTACAGCCCTAGCCCCCTCTTTTGATTTTTCTGCCCCCAATTATAGTGATTTTATATTAAAAGAATCTTAGCCAGGTATGGTGTATCAAGCCTATAATTCCAGTTATTCAGGAGGCTAAGACAAGAGAATCACAAGTTTGAATCCAACCTAGGTAACTTAGCAAGACCTTGTCTCAAAATAAAATAAAAAAGGACTGGGGCTGTAAAGGAGCTCAGTGTTAGAGCACAGTACCTAGCACCACAACAAAATAACAAAAATATGTCCAAAAAACAAAACAACAACAACAACAAAACCCCCAAACTTAAAAGCTCTATCACATTGGAAAAACCAGTGTCACTTTAATCAGCTTTCTTTTTTTTTTCGCCACTTTTTGTGACCAAAAGACCTGACAACATCAATAGTAAGGAGGAAAATTTTATTTTGTGGTATACAGTTTCAGAGGTCTCAATCCAAGGACAGCCAGCTTCATTACTTGGGACTCAAGGTGAGGCAAAACATCATGGCAGAAGATTGTGGTGGAGAAAAGTGACACTCAGAATGTCACCAGGAAGCAGAGAAGAGCTTCACTCACAAAGAAAAAATATATACCCCAAAGTCACGCCCCCAGTGATCCACCTTCTCCAGTCACATCCCCATCTGCCTATAGTTATACCCAGTTAATCCCTATAGGGGATCAATGCACTGATTAGGTTAAGACTCTTCGAACCCAATCATTTCACCTCTGAACCTTCTTGTATTGTCTCACACATGAGCTTTTGGGGGACACACATCTAAACCATAACAAAGTGCTACCATAAACTTCCATCATCAATTTCCTTAACTTCAAGCATGTTTGTGTGCCTCTTCAAGTCAGGAGTGTGGCATTTACTGCTGATTCTTGCTTTTGTAGCTGTTCATTGCCAAGGGCCTTGTAACAGCTAGCACAGAAAGGCTGGTCTGCGGAACTGGTCTCTCTTGGCTCTCTTTTGTTTTGTCTGGCTGTTCTTGTGGAGGACAACAGCAATGATTAGACCTTTAGAAATGGCTGACCCAGGGTTTGGAACACAGATATTTTCAAGCACTGTATTTTCCAAGTCGACTTGAGAAAGTGTAGCCTTCCCAATTACTGGGCCCTTGAGGAAGGCAATGAGGTTTGAATAATGTCCAGCACTCAGTCTTAACCTCCCTCTACCCCATGAAAGGGATAAATGCCAGGACCCAGGAGCACAGCGAAGATTTGCTGCATTCTCCTGTATTTTGTTGCCAAAGTAACATTCCCCAGCCTTCTGTGGTATGGCTGGACAAAATTATGCTGTGTCCTTCTTTGCTGGTTAGTATGCTCCCTGAATGGCATCGCTGGTCTTGGGCAACTGCTGCATATTCTTTGTGCAAAGCAAACATTTTCTTGGTGGGTGGCTCCAAGTTACCTTGGCTTTCTCATCTGTGACTAAAGAATGAAAGGTTGAACTCATGTCAAAACTGTGTTTGCAGCCTGCAGTCCAAATGCCTGCCGGGCCAGTGGCCGAGGCCTGCAGCCCAAAGGTGTCCGCATCCGGGAGACCGCAGACTTCAAGGTTGATACCAAAGCTGCTGGAAGTGGGGAGCTCAGTGTAACTGTGAAGGGTCCTAGTAAGTGCTCCTTTCTTTCCCCATCTCAGGTGTGATTTCGGCTAATTTTTCAATCATGGCAATTTGGATTTCATCCCACATACAGTCTGGATTGATTTACAGAGAGCTATGACAAAGATTTAAGACTCTCTGGCTTCCATGGAAAAGGGAGCAGTAATTGATTAGTAATGTCTGCCCTGGATGTGGGCTAGAACTGTGGGTGGCTTGACAGTCTTACATTATATTAATACCTCTGGGAGTAGAGAAAGTAGTGATGCAAAGGAGTTAGGGAAATGTTGCTGTGGGAACAACTTGAAATGGTCCATTTTTTATTTGAGGAGATCGAGGCCCTGAATAGAAAGTTCTTATTCAAGATCACATAGCTTGTAGGCACCTGAGCTGGTATTCAAGCACAGTCTCCAAGGCCGATGATTTCTCCAGCACAGGTTGCATTTCATTGAGTATGAAATTACATCAGTTACTACAGTTAGTGAAAGGGAATCATATTTCCCCAGATGAAGTTTTCATTGGAGATAAATGTGTGGAAGGCAAATTACACCCAGCAACCCATTCTTTGCTCCCTCTTTTGGGGAGGAATATGGCAGATATGAAGTCAAGCATCCTCCCTGCTCACAAGTTTTTCCCTGGTACAGAGGTGCAGCTCTGCGTTTCTGGTTACAGATATAGCTTACTGGTGGCTTTTAGTTCCTTGGCTTATGGGATGTGAGCTTCCTGTGCCAGGGCTGCTCTCATCTTCTGTGCTTCCATTAGATTGGGGCAGAAGGGTTCCAAGCTCCAAAAAGTTAATATTTGGTCTCCGAACACCAAATTTTGAAGCAGAATGTGCCCCGAGGGCAGCCAAGGTTCTAAACTGCCCAGACCTGGAGCCAAGCTATGCTGTGGCTGCCCTCCCTCCCAGCTTGTTGCAACAGGAGTCAGGGAGACATGTTTTCCTGACCTTGGAGACTTGCTTGACTCAACGGCTTTCCTGGCCAAACCTCAGGGCTCAACATAAAACAAGTTCTAGCCTGATGGCTGGGTCTGGGGTTTGTGGTATGGCATCTAAAACCCATCTTCTCATAGATAGCGAACTTAAGGGCTTTATTGCTTTCGTTGTCCAGCGTTAGCGCAAAAAAAAAAAAAGATATCCTGGGATGCATAACTTAAGTCAAATACTCATAAAGGTTCTCCCTCCCCAGTGTTTGAGGGGGAGCTGAGAAGGGAAATGTTGAACTGTAACTAGATTTCTTACATAGATCCACAAGGTTCAGGACCTCAGGGTTCCTCAGACCTGAGAGAATTATCAGAAGCCACTTTGCTGTGAAATCTTCCATTTGTTTACCGTCTGAAGCAGAGATGTGTCTGCTTTTAGCTTTCAAGTCCTCTCCCATGTTTTGGGGGGCCTGCCACTCTGCATTGGCCCACTTGATTCTTAGATGGCTTATGCTTTGTGGATATTGCTACCTTTCTATTCTTATCACCGTTATGAGGCTAGAATTGCTCTGGCAAGATTGTGTGCTTCCTTCCCGCAGAGGGCCTGGAGGAGCTGGTGAAGCAGAAAGGCTTTCTGGATGGGGTCTATGCATTCGAATATTACCCCAGCACCCCGGGGAAGTACAGCGTTGCCATCACATGGGGGGGACACCACATTCCAAAGAGGTGAGTCTTGGGCTGGGGATGCTGGGGACGCATCTTCTCTGGAGGTGTGCTAGGCCCAGGGCAGATTCACAGGCTGCTGCTTCCCAGGCTGTAGGAAAGAAAGAGTTCTCCTTTGTTGATAGCTGCCCCCACCCCCGCTCGAGCCCAGCAGCACACAGACACTTGGCTTGTTCGCAAAAGCAGCAGAAAAGTTGCTGTGGTTTCAGCTGCCTTACTTTAAATCAAATGCTGGTGGTTCAGGGCTGGTGGGAGGCAGGGAAGCCAGAAGGCACAGTTATAGAGAGCAAATGGACTGTGTGTGTACACCCTCATATAAACTGAGATTCTCTTTTTTCAATGAATGCCTCTGTTCACAAATGCCACGGAGGCACAGTCTGCTATGGTTTACATTAAAACCATCTACGTGAGTTCTCTCAGGGACCAAGGGACGCTGTCTACAGCTTTGCCTTGTGGGCGGTGAAGTTTCCACTCTGCACTCATATGTGTTTTCCAGCTCTCCTGGGGGCAGCTTTACATTCTGAATTAGTTTAGTTTGCCTCCAGAAATATTTGAGTGTTACAGTAGGCACCCCCTTATCCACCAGGGATATATTCTAAAACTCCCAGTGGATCTCTGAAACTCAGGTCATGCCAAACCCTATATGTCCTTTGTTCTTTCCCAGACACACATATCTCTGATAAGTTTGATTTATAAAATAAGCATATTAAGAAGATAAATAGCAGTACTTAATAATAAAATAGAAACAATTATAAAAGCATACTGTAATAACAAGTTATATGCATGTAGTCTTTCTGAAAGTATCTTCCTGTGCTGTGCTCACTCACTCTTTTTGTGCTAATGTGATGAGGTAAAGAGAAGAGAATGATGATGTAAGTGTCCTGGCGTAAGATTGGCTACTGTTGACCTTCTGTTGATACATACTGCGTTTGACTGCATGTAACTGAAACTTTAGAAAGTGAAACCGAGGATAAGTGGGGACTATTTTATGGTGTTCTTGGTTTCTAGGCAACAAAGTTAAAGCATGTTTGTTTGTGTATATGATAAAATCTGTTGTGTTAGTCAGCTTTATATAGCAGTGACCAAGTTACCTGACAAGAGCAACTTAGAGGGGGAAACCTTATTTGGGGCTCATGGTTTCAGAGGTTTAGTTCACGGTTCTGGGCCTGAAGTGAGACAGAACATCATGGTAGAAGGGTGTGGTAGAGGAAAGCTGCTTAGCTCATGGTAGTCAGAAACCAGAGAAAAGACAGAGTGCCAGGAGATAGGGACAAAATACATAATCCTCATAGTACACCCTCATTGACCCACTTTCTAGCCATGCCCCACCTATTATAGTTACCACCCAGTAATTTGTTCAAATTATTAATTCATCACATTACAGTTAATAAGGTTATAGCTCTTACAATCTAATCATTTCACCTCCTACATTAATGCAGGAGCTTTTGGGGGACACCTCATATCTAAAACATACCACCTATTCAACCTGTTTTTCTTGTTATAGCTGAAGTAGGATATGGAGAAGTGTGAACTTTTCTTCTCTCCAGGGCTTATAGTCTGGACAACCCTGCACATAAGAGATTAATGACCAGCAAGATATGCAAGGCACTGAGGCTTGAGGGCCAGCCCAGTGGCCCTAAGCTCCTGAGGCAGCCACATTACATTATATTGTTGCATAATAATGGCTTTGAGGGGTCCTTTGTGGAGGAAGAGCTTGCCTGGAGTTTGGGACTCCTGGTGAAAAGAGCAGTAAGTGGGAAGAATATGTGTTAAGAGTTTTTAGCTGTAGTTAGCTCCTTCTTCACTCTTCTTTAATGTTGCTTCTAAAAAAGAAAGAGAAAAAAAAAAAATGTTGCTTCTATTCCCTTCCTTCTAGCCCTTTTGAAGTTCAAGTTGGTCCTGAAGCAGGCATGCAGAAAGTCCGTGCTTGGGGCCCTGGCCTCCATGGTGGAATTGTCGGGAGGTCGGCAGATTTTGTGGTAGAATCCATTGGCTCTGAAGTGGGGTCTCTGGGTAAGTGGAGGCAGCTGACCAATAGCTTCTGGATGACTGAGGATTTTGGGGCACGGGGTGTCCTGGTGTCAGGTTGGGTGTGGGGGCCTTGCCCAGCTTCACCACCCTTAGCTTCCTGGCCTCCTGACCACTCCAGGCCTTTTTTGTTTGCTGCTGTACAAGTTCAGTTCTCTTTCCCTTCCTGCCTTTCCAGTTTCTACTGCCTCTGGCACCAGCATTCATTCATCCACTAGACCTTGAGGGCAGAGGCCTTATGCGGGTATTATGCCTAAACAGTGCTTAGAACATAGTAGTCACTTAGCAATATTGTTGACTGCCCTTAGTTTAGATAAATGAATTAATTTTGCTAAAATTTGAAATTTGGGAACTAAATATTCTTTGAGCCATGACAACATATTTTACATATGCATCCAATTTTCTCTATGATCATTTTAGATTAGCAAATCTTTTCTGTAAAGGGCCAGATAGTAAATATTTTGTGGGTTATTAAGGTCTCTGTCACAGATATGTGACTCTACCATTGTAGCCTAAAAGCACCTGTAGAAATGACTGAATATGGCCCTGTTTCAGTAAAACTTTATTTACAAATAGACAGTGAGCCAGATTTGGTCCTTGAATAGTTTAGTGACCTATTTTAGGTAAAGCAATTAGCAAAAGAGGGAAAAATAAGAAATCATATTTAATTTTCCATACTGGAAAGATGAATCATCTTGGTATATTCTTCTAGTCTGCAGATGGTATTTAACCTTTTGACATATCCTTCCAGACTTTTTTCATGTATATACATATATAAACATTGATTTGCCATATAAGCATTGATTTGCCACATAAACTATCTAGGGGAAGTCTTTATATTTTTACGCATCAGATAAATATAGGGTATGCCTTTATTTTCTGTGGCTCCCATGGAATTCCATTGTATGGGTATATCTATTGTTGGGCTCTCCAGTTATTTCCAGGATTTGCTCTATAAACAATGCTGAGTGCATATTCTCTGTTATTTCCTTTAGATAAAAACACAGAAGTGGGTTTGTTCAGGCAAGAAGTGGGTGTCACTTTAAGGCTTTTGGCACGTCTTGGCCATATTACCAACACAACGATTTGCTGGTTCACACCCAACCCCCCACCCCATTAGATCATGTAAGAAACAAATATATCTGATCAACCCTTCCATCTCCAGTAAAACATAGTGATCTGGGTTTTATGGAAAAGGAACACAAACAAATTTTATTCTTCTGGCCAATGCTTGGCTTTTGCGGGGACAGAGGGAATGAACTGGTGGCAATAGAACAGATGCTTCCTGCCATGTAACCAGGCTGGCCCTTCCACCCCATCCCTAGGGTTTGCCATTGAAGGCCCTTCCCAGGCAAAGATTGAGTATGATGACCAGAATGATGGATCATGTGATGTCAAATACTGGCCCAAGGAGCCTGGAGAATATGCTGTTCACATCATGTGTGATGATGAAGACATCAAGAACAGCCCATACATGGCCTACATCCATCCTGCCACAGGAGACTACAACCCAGACCTGGTGGGCCGCCTGTCCTGTTCTGTCCGTCTTCCCTGGCTCCTGGCACTCCCTCAGCCCCCAGGCCTGCAGAGTTTCCATAAGCAGCATGCCAGGAGATGGCAGAGAGGAGCTGTTGAGATCTTAGAAAGGAAATAGGACTGAATTTGAATTCTGCTGGTACTCTTAGCACTTTTGTGATGTTGGGCAAGTAATTTACCTCCCTGACTCTTGGCTTCTTCCTCTATAAAATGCAGATGATGGGAGGAGGAGGGTCTACTTTCTAGAGCTTCTGAGATGGTTCAAAGTCACATGCAGAAAGACAGCCTGTAGCACAAAACCTGACCTGTGTAGGGGGCTCTACAGCTGCTAATTTCGTGCAACCTGGAGCATCCTATTTCAGTCTTAGCATGGTCTGTAGTTATCATTTCAAGATGCTCCATAGATAAAGGTTGCTTCCACACCACTGCTGTGGCCCCCCCCAGCTCCTCTTTTCTCACATTGGATCAGTATTTCTAAGGGCTTTCTCTCCAGCCCTTGCTAATCACCAAGTCTGAGTGAAGCCTTCAAATTGGTGACCCCACACCCCCTTGTGTGCTGCTTTTGACCCCTTGGGGCAGCTCTGAAGAGGGTCTGGTCAATTTGGGCTGATAACTACCTTTTCTTCGACTAGCTGCTAGTCCTTTGATCCCTGGGGGCTGTAGATTTTTGTACTCTTGTCTCTGGTTAAAGGTTTTGAATTTCCTCAGAGTGAGAACATTGAAATTGGGCAAGGCTAGAGGACCCTGCCCCACTTACTACAAGTTCTGTCAGAATAAGGCAGGGAATCTGGGCTTGTTTGGGCCTGGTTTTAGAGTTTTTATGAGAGGTTAATGATACTATTTGTCTTTAAGTTGTGGCCTATTGTAGCTTTTTACTTCCCATAACCATGCTGTTACATGGATACCAAAAAATCAGACACAAATCATTTTGTTCTCCCATCATTATTGAGTAATAGGGGCTTATTTGAGGCATTATACAGAAAGAGAATCATTATTGTTCCTTTCCCCCAGGTCCAAGCATATGGGCCAGGTTTGGAGAGATCTGGGTGCATCGTCAACAACCCAGCCGAGTTCACTGTGGATCCTAAGGATGCTGGAAAAGCTCCCTTAAAGATATTTGCTCAGGTAAATTTTGGGAGGCCACCTGTGCAGGTAATTGTCAGATTGAAAGTGTAATGGCAAGGGATGTGGCTCAGTGGTAAAGCACCTCTGGGTTCAATCCCCAGTACCAAAAAAAAGAATGTAATGGCAGGTCACTCAGGGTACCTGATCCTCAGTTTTCTTATCCACACATTGGGAATGATAAGAATATTATCTCATGGAGTTATATGAGGATTAAATGAGACTAGCATAAAGCACGGTGTTTTTCATGATTTTTATGATTAATATTCTGTGGAAAGACATTTTAATTGTTTCAGACTACCCTATAATGTCTTTCAGTTTGACTTAGGCTTTAATGGGAAGTTTGTAAACAAATTACAAATGTTTATCTAATTTAATAGAATTGGCCAAAAGAAGTAAAAGCAGAAATTGAAATTAGTAAGCATTGAGTATTGGGGCTGGGGTTGTAGCTCAGTGGTAGAGCGCTTGCCTCACATGTGTGGGGCACTGGGTTCAATCCTTAATACCACATAAAAAATAAAGATATTGTGTCCATATAAAACTAAATTAAAAATTTTAAAAAATATAAGTTTTGAGTGGCCATGGCTTGAGGAGGGGGGCAGGATTTGCTCTTAAAAATAAATAAATAGGGGGCTGGGGTTGTTCCTCAGTGATAGAATACTTGCTTAGCACTTGTAAGGCACTGGGTTCAATCGTCAATACCACATAAAAATATAAAGGTAATGTATCCATCTACAACTACTACATATTTATATAGTATATAGATATTTATATATGCTATATATAATATATAAATATTATTATATAATATGTTGTATATAAATATTATTTATATATACAGATATATAAATAAACAGAACTGGGTGTGGTGACATGTACCTGTAGTCCCTGCGCTTGAGTGGCTAAGGACAAAGGATCAAATGAGCCCAGGAATTTCAATCAACCTAAGCAACATAGTGATACCCTATCTCAAAACAAACAACAATAAAACAATAACAAAACAGGCATGTAGAGCTGGGGTTGTGACTTAGTAGTAGAGTGTTCATCTCGCATGGGTGAGGCACTGAGTTTGATCCATAGCACCACATAAAAATAAAATAAAGGGGGGGCTGGGATTGTGGCTCAGCGGTAGAGCGCTTACCTAGCATATGCGAGGCCCTGGGTTTGATCCTCAGTACCACATAAAAAAATTAAATAAAGAATGTGTCCAACTACAACTAAAAAATAAATTAAAAATAAAATAAAATAAAGGTATTGTGTCCACCTACTATAAAAAAAAATAATAATAAAAAAACAGGCATGTAACATTTTGTCAGATATTGTCATTATATTGAGACAGTTGGTACTTTGTGGTTGCTCCATGAAGTTTTGTTGAATGAGTGGGTGGTGGCCCCATTTGGTGGAGACTATGTGAGGGATATCTCTGTTCCTAGCTGTGGCTCTTTTGCAGGATGGGGAAGGCCAGCCCATTGACATCCAGATGAAGAACCGGATGGATGGAACTTATGCCTGCTCATACATCCCAGTTAAAGCCATTAAGCACACCATTGCTGTGGTCTGGGGAGGAGTGAATATTCCAAACAGCCCCTACCGGGTAGGTTGTGAGGTGAATCCTGGCTGATGTGTGAAAAGCCTGGTTATACACGAGGTCTGAACTCCATATGAGGAGAACCCATCCTTGATGGGCCTGGAAAGGTGGCATGGCCTAAAGGGCTGCATGCTTTAGGCTGCCCCAAAGGACCATTTCTAAGAATGTTTTCCTGAGTCCACGTGGAGGAGTACTTGATGACTTTCTCCATGTCTTTTCTAGGTCAACATTGGGCAAGGAAGCCACCCTCAGAAGGTTAAAGTGTTTGGGCCAGGTGTGGAGAGAAGTGGTCTGAAGGCCAATGAACCCACCCACTTTACAGTGGACTGTACTGAGGCTGGGGAAGGTGAGACTGTGCTTCCCCAACCCTGTGACTCTTGCTATTTGGAGAAAGAAATTCTTTTTGTAACTTTCAGAAGGCAGCAAACTTTGACCGGGAGGTAGTCTCTCTGTCTAGGTGACTGTTCACCTAATGAACACTGTGTCAGTTTCTTGGTGATATATCTTTGCTAATTCTCCATCCCTTTTCCAAAGCCCTGACTTACCACCTTCCCTTTCTTAGGTTTTCTACTGGAAACTTCCCTATTGTTCTTTTGGGGTGTGTTAGCCTGAGGTACAAGTGATGCAAAGGACGTGCTGTTTCTTGTAAACTTATGTTAATAAGCTGGTCTCTTCCAGGTGATGTCAGTGTTGGCATTAAGTGTGATGCCCGGGTTTTAAGCGAGGATGAGGAAGACGTGGATTTTGACATTATTCACAATGCCAATGACACATTTACAGTCAAATATGTACCTCCTGCTGCTGGGCGATACACTATCAAGGTTCTCTTTGCATCACAGGTGTGAATTGGGGCCTGGGAGGGAACAGAGGAGAGTGGGCCTGAGTTCGTTCTGACCACCTTTTTGTATATCTCCTTGTGGGTTTTTTTTTTTTTTTTTTAGCAATAAGGAAGGTGTCTTGAGAATTCTTCTCAGTAGTTTTTCTTCAGTTCCTTAAAGCCAAGAAGGGAGAAAAAATAAATTTTCGCCACTTTCTAAAAGAAGTGAGGCACTATATTCAATGGTCAATAACAAGGTTCTAGAAAGAGACTATTAAAAGCAATCTCAAGATTTTGATTAAAATGTAACTTCTAGATGTTCTACTTAGGTCTGTTTGAAGCGGTAACTCTGGCCTCTGTGCTTAATTTTTTTTTTTTTTTTTTGGTATGATGAGCTGCATCCCCAGCCTTTTTTATTTTTAGGTAGGGTCTCACTAAGTTGCTTAGGTCCTTGTTAAGTTGCTGAGGCTGGCCTCAAATTTGCCATTCTTGCTTTACCCTCCCAAATCACTGGGATTACAGGTATGCACCACTGCCCTAAAACTTTTATACAGAGAGGTATTTTTGAAGTGTTAGGTTTATGATGTGATGATAGGGTGAGCAGTACCCTGAAACAGGGAGTTTTGAAATCCTGATCATTACATTTGCATAAAAACAGGAACCTCAGGAGAACATTCTGTGCCTAAATGCATTGGTTTTCAGTTGACTTCAGTTAACCTATTCTGCCTTTATCCTGATAGTCTATAACTTTCTTTTTCTTTTTTTATTTAATATTATTTTTTAGTTGGACATAATAGTTTTATTTTGTTTATTTTTATGTGGTGCTGAGGATCGAACCCAGGGCCTCAAATGGGCTAGGCAAGCGTTCTACTGCTGAGCCACTATAACTTTCTTTTTGAAGGATAATAATTGATCTGTTTCTAATTACTTCCTTATAGTCCCCAAACATTAGCTCTAAGCTGTCCCTGCAGGATACCTACCTCCATGTATTGTTGTCAGTTTGGGTTTTATTCTAGGTAGTGGTTTTTCATCCTTTTTATCCAATGCCGGTGTTAAAGGTCAGAGTCTTCAGTTCTGTTCATGTTGTCAGGATCCAAAAGTGAGCAAGGACCTGTCATGGTCTTATCTGATGCTAGGGTATGCAGACTTCTCTGGCAGTAATGGAAGTTTGCTCACCACCTGCTGAAATACATGTCATGCTAAAGTTCGCCCTTTGCATTTGGGCAGAAGGCTAAGCTCTGGCAATTGTTCAGGGACTTTCCTTCTGAGACCGTGTCTCTGCTACAGGAAATTCCTGCCAGCCCTTTCAGAGTCAAAGTTGACCCTTCCCATGACGCCAGCAAAGTGAAGGCAGAAGGCCCGGGGCTCAGCAGAGCAGGTAAGAAGGCACGGGTGAGGCTGTCCTGAGCCTTCTGTGGCCAGTGTCATTGGGCATGTTTGGTCAGGACCTGGATAACTTATCTCCACAGATGGCTCTGATGTGGCAGAGGCATTGCACCTGCCTGAGCCATGGGCCAGCCCAAATGTTGGCTGGCCGCCATGGCAGAATGGTACTGTTGAACCTGTCAAACTGGTTCTAAAATGAGGCCTGTCTGCCAGCCCTGTCTCCCCGCTTCACGGTATGTCCTTCCAGGTGTGGAAAACGGAAAACCGACCCACTTCACTGTTTTCACCAAGGGAGCCGGGAAGGCCCCACTCAACGTGCAGTTCAGCAGCCCCCTTCCTGGTGACGCTGTGAAGGACGTGGATATCATCGATAATTATGACTACTCTCACACCGTTAAATACACACCCACCCAGCAGGTAGAGTCCTTCTTGTCCCCTGCTCTGCTGGCCAGGCCCCTTTCCAGGCAGTGCTTGGACCTCTGAGGAGTGATCTGGTGCTTGTGGAGGCTCTTGGTGATGGGAGGTGGCTCCTCTTGCCTTTTGTGTGACCCTCTGGGAGAGCACTGACTGAAAGCCTGTGCAATTCCTGAATAAGAACCAGGAAGCCAGTCCCACCTCCATTTGGGGATTTGTCAGAGAAATGCTGAGTTCTTGATATTTAGGATCTAATATGCAACTTTCTCTTACACACAAAAACACACACACACACACATACTCCCTCCCTTTCTTTCTTTCTCTCTCTTCCTACCCCACCGCCCCCCCACTTCCTTTTCCAGCTGCCTCTCAGTCTTTCATTAATTAATTACAGAGAAAGAGCTGCCACACCTGTGTTTTTCCTTGCTAGACTTTTTGACCTAGTTTACCCTTTTATGAGGTGTTTTAGTGGGGTCTTTCCTCAAAGAGCCAGTTCAGTCTTTTAGTCCCTAAGGCCTAAAACACTATTCAGGGCAGCACATTGTTCTCCTTTACAAAATGCAGAAATTCAGCTGGATCTTGCCATATAGTGTGTTTTACTCTGATTATTTTCTGTGATAAGGATTTCAAAAAAAAAAAAAAAAAAAACAGAAGAAGAAGAAGAAAGAGCACCCCTCTGTTTTCACGTTTCTTTGTTTAAAAATTTTAAAATTCATTATTTGTTTTATCATGGTAAAATTCACATAACATTTGCCATCTTAACCATGTTAAGATGGTATTAAATACATTCATTGGTATTAAATACATTCATCATATTCTGCCACCACCACCATCCATCTCCACAACTCTTTTACACTTATGAAACTGAAACTCTGCACCTATGATAAGTGTTAAAAAAAATCTTGTTTTGCTTCATGTTTATACCTCTAGAATCTGGACAGCAAAAGATCCTGGCAGAAAGGCTGGATTTTTATACTCACATCTAGTGTTATAAACAGTTGTTCTAAGCCTCTGAAATTCTTTCATTCTGGAGGGAAAAAGTCCCTGTGTTCAAAATGCCATTTATAAGCTAAAGGGCAGCTCTGGCTTCAGAGACTGCTCAGGAAGCATTACTTCTCCTGGGCCTCCCCGCTGGAGCTGGCAAGAGTGAGTGGGGAAGAATGAAGGAATAGGAAGGATGAGGAGATGGTGTAACTGTTTTCCTTGCTTTGAGGACCGCACATCCTTGCAGACCGAGTCTTTTCTGAGAACTTCTCTGGCAATGGAAGGAGTTCTCTGGGGCAGGTTCTATATGTCACATTATGAATGTGACCTCTTATCTCTAGATTTGGTGATTTCTCTGCCCTAACAAGGGGTTCCTTATTGTAGTAGTGCTTCTACTACATGCTTCTGAAGCTACTGTGTCCTTTTCACATCAGGCTGCTCTTTTGAAAGTAGGTAATTATTTTCTCGCTGGTAGTTCTGAGGGCTGATGGAAGCCTTACCACCATGATTTTATCTTTGTTGCCAGTTCTCCACAACCTTATGAGAAGGGACCAGAAAGCCATGACCATGCACACTGACCAAGGTCACAAGGTCATATATATGCTTCTAAAAACAGTTTGTTACTTGTGGGTTTTTGTTTTTGTAGTACTGGGGATTGCACCCAGGACCTTAGGGTTTGCTAGGCAAGTGCTTTACCACGGATCTACACCCTTAGTCCATGACTTGTGTTTTATCCTATGCTTTTCTGACAAGGTCAGTTTGCTCTGTACCCCTGGAAAGAATAGTAGAACCCATTCCCCTGGGTTCCCAATTGTCAGTCCAGGTAGAAGTCAAGAGCCCATATCTAGCTTTATTGCATTTGAAGTAATGCTTCAGTGGGAGACTCTTTATTTCAGTCATCCCAAGATCAAGTTCATCTAGTTCTCTAATAGCAATGGATTTGAGAACTGTGGGCACACTCAGTAGCCTCTAGCGGTTATTTGTTCAAATGCTGGCCATGATATGTGGAGGAGCTGGTAGAGTCGTCTTGATGTTAATTGTTGCCTTTTATGTGAGTGGATCTCATGGTTCCCCTTGGATCCTTCTTGTTGGTGTAGTGTAGAGTGAGGTTTGTAGTTTCATTATTGGGGACACTTGCAATTCCACATATTTCTCTGTAGCAAAGAAAATAGATGGCATCTCTTTTGAATTGTGAGTTCTCCAAGGATATATTATGACCTACATGTATCTTCCTATCCCTAGCTCCAAGCCCTGGGTCCGGCGCCAAAGGTGCGCCATATAGATTAATCACTAAAAGGGTGAATCAACAATGTGATGCCTTGATGTGATGCAGAAATGGCCTTAGGAGCATTGTAACTGGTAGAAGAGTTGGGCTGGCACCTCATCCTGAGGAGCCGCCAAAAGCTCAAGATCAGGTGCAGGAAGTGTGCCTGTGAATTGTGCTCTTGGATGTGGTTAAGAGGCCTGGGCTGTCCAGAAAGCTGCCAGCTCCATGGAGAGGGACCTACTTTGAGGACTGACGCCCCTGGGCTTGTGATGATGTTGTTTGGGAATAACAAACTGGAACTTTCCAGAAAGGCACTATTTGATGTATGTGGAAAGGCATGGCTATGTCCTGGCCTTAGGTGGGTTGTTTCTACCTCAGAATACAGACTGTGAGGAGCCACTACCCTGCGAACCTGAGGAGACTGGCCCCTCAGGTTGATTGCTGGCTTTTGTTCCCTGCAGCTAAGAGGCTGCTGATCTTTCCTCCAGGGCCCCTCAGTTTTAGCTCACCTGCCTGGAATGGACTCGTGATATGCATGGTTGAGGAGGTGTCTGCCTTTATCAGGATACAGTGATCAGAACTCTTTTTGCCTTACTGGAGTGGGTTGAAGCTTAAGGACCCTCCTAGATTAGGGACAAGTAATTATTTTCCTAAGGACTTTTGCCTTCTTTTCCTTTGGTTGTCTGTGGCCTCAAGTGGCTTAAAATTCTCACTCCAAGCTCCCCAACCCAAAACAGTTTGAGAAATTGGTGGCAGCAGTTACAGTACTTGCTCTGATTAGAGCCATTAGGAATTTGAAAGTGCTACTATGGCACCTTCAGGATACCCCATGAGCTCACAGAGCCTCATGAGGTAATAATCTTTACCTTGAATTCCCCTCCACCCCTGGTACTGGGGGATTGAACCCAGACTGCTCTACCACTGAGCTATATCCACAGCCATTTTAAATTATTTATTTGAGACATGGTCTCACTAAATTGCTGAGGGTTTCCTTAAGTTTCTGAGGCTGGCCTTGAACTTGCAATCCTCCCACCTCAGCCTCCCGAGTGACTGGGATTACAGGCATGCATCACCACTCCTGGCTTGATATGTTCTCAATGTGGTGACCATGGCTCCTTGCAGGCAGCTCTGGAGGAGGGGATGCATTGGCTGACTCTCAGTCCATCCTCATCTGAGCTGTTGGGTCAGGGCCCTTGTTTATCTGTGTTTGCAGATAAGGGTCAGGTCTCAGAAGCATGTAGGGGGAGAATAAAACAGTCCTGCAGTCAGCAACATCTTGCTGGAATGAGCAGGTGGTCACGGCCCAGGCAGCCCTTATTTACAGCCCTGTGGTAATAAAACACAATCTGTTTCTTAGCTGGGCCTCGGGAAAACTGAAAATGGTATTGGTACTAGAGATGCAAATCTTGAAAGTTTTTTTTCTTTCCCCCTTGTTAGGTTATTTAAGATAGAGTTAATTTCCTATCTGGATTTTTGTTTTGCTTTTGTGACTGGTAAGAAAACATACTTTGTTTTATGAGATTGGTGGACTTAACTGCAAGAGGACTTTCCCCCCTTAGCACTTCAGGGAAGTGGCCAGAAAACTCATGGGGGTGAGGGAAAAGACATTTCCAGGACCCCTGGTCAGCCTTAAAGCCTAAGAGTTAGGGGCTTGTGACCAAATTTAAGCTCAGGAAGAGTTGGCATGTTGGGAGAGGTTAAGTAATAAATCAGTCCTCCCTTAAACATTACAAGGAGACCTTTCCTGTCCCTTGGCCAACTCCCAGCCCTGTTGAATTTGACCTGTACACATTTTATCATGAAATGTTATACCCTTGAGGTAGAGGGTCATTGGCTTTGTATGCAGTGTTAAAAAATCCTGGAAAATCAATCCTTCCCCCTTCATTGATACAACCAATTATTTTTCTTGGCTTTTTTCCCTTCGTTATTACAAAAGGAATGTGAGAAAATATCCATAGGCCAAAAGCTACACCCTTTTAATGCTTGATCAGCGACAGCTTTCAGCAGGCCCTGCACGCCAGTGAGCATGATGGATTCTCTGGGAGAATCATCTCTCCCTCCTATGTCCCTTATATTATGCCTGGATGATTGAGGTGATGGGGACCTGATCTGTGAGATGGCAGTGGTCTTCCTTGGAGCCTTGGCATGGTGGATGGGGACTTGGCCAACGTGGAGAAAAGAAACCAGCAGTGAGCTGGCCTGGGATCATTCGGAGGATAACAACAGCAGCACACATGGCCATTGTGTGTTTCTGTGGCCATTGGGGCCACTGACAAGGGGACTTGCCATTTCTATAGCACAGTGTGCCTTTGCACTTGTAACTTTTTTTTTCTTTGCTAGAAACAGCAGTTAAACTGTATGCTGGCCTAACAACAGTTCTAGGTGAACCACTTTGCAGATCCCTTTTGCAGCCTGGTATCCTGAAACTGATGGCCAGGAGATGGAAAAACTGGTTCTACTCACTGAGAAGCCCCAGGCTCAGTGGCTTACCCATGGCCAAGCTGGCTGTGTGTTGGGTGGGGAGGTAGTGTGGGAGCAGTGAGGAAGATGGTGGGTGCTGTGGGTCTGAGGCCCAGTGCTTATGTTTACCAGGTATGTGATGGGGCCAACTTCCTTTACCTCACTGAACTACTGTTTCTATTCTTGGAAAAATGGGGATGATAGAAGAACTGCCCCTTAGGACTTCATTCTTGAGATAGAATGAAGGGAATGCTTAAAAGAGCATATAGCACAGTGCATGTAGTAAGCACTTATTAAGTTGTCCTGCTTTTTGCTGCTCTTATTTGATCTGGTTTTTGATTATTGTTGTCTGAGATATTCTCTAAGTCCATAGGAGTCATGCCCACTGTGTCTCTGGGAAGAACAAAGTGTCTGGAGGCAGATTTAAATACCCAGTGAACATGTTCGTACTCAAAAGGGCCCCCCCCCCCCCCCCCCTCTTATTCTAGGGCAGCATGCAGGTTCTGGTAACTTATGGTGGTGATCCTATCCCTAAAAGTCCTTTCACCGTGGGCGTTGCTGCTCCGCTGGATCTGAGCAAGATAAAAATCAATGGGCTGGAAAACAGTAAGTATCTGATGAGGAGAGGGTCATTGAAGACCAGGAAACCTGGCTGCCATTAGGTTTCCTTGCAAAAATGAATTCACAGAGAAGCCAGTTCTATTTTAAGAGACTGCAGTGAGACAGTCTTGGGTTTAAATGAGGGCTGTGTCATGAAACAACTGTGACCCTTCTGCCACTTAGCCTCAGCTTGCTCGTTAATACAGCAGGGGTGAGTAGATGAGAACACTTAACTTTCACAGGAATATTGTGAAAATTAAAATAGCTAATGATTCAGAGGCTGGCAGGTAGTCAGACCTCAGTAACTATGGATATTGCTGTGAGAAGGTGGGGCCTGTTGCTTTTGTGTGTGCTATCTTTCCTTGACTTCTGAATGCCATTCATACATAAAAGCCAACTCCCTGGTGCTCAGTAACCACAACCGTAATGCACCCCCCTACCACCACCAATATTCCTTTAGTTTGTTAAGAATCTTACGGTTATAAGCTTGTTTTGTTTAGGGTGATATTTTCCCCCTTTTTTTTAATTATGGAAAAAAATTGAAACATACAAAAAGAAAGAGTATTGTGGTGTTGAACACTGATAGGCTCACCACTCAACTCAGATGTTTCACACATGCTCATAAAATCATTCTTACACAAGGAATATGTAAATCCAGTTTTCATCTGAAGCAAAATTACAGTTAAGAGTTCATTCCATCATTTCTGCCCCTTCCTAGGGTTGACCAAAGTTGGCAATTCAGTTCCTCTCCTTCCACACCTTCTCTCTGTATCTTCATGTATAGATGTTCCAGTAGAAAAGATCTGGCAAGGTTTATTTTGCATTAAAGTTATCCTGCTATGTGGTATGTCTCCAGCTATCCCCTGTGTATGTCTCCCACTCAACTACATCCTCAACCCCAACCTGCCTTTTTTTGTGTGTGTGTGATTCTGGAGATTGAACTCAAGCCCTTCCTTAACCTTAGCCAGCCTGCTTTGTGGTCAGCAGTGCATCTTGGAAATCATTCATACCTACATCCTCCTCGTTGGTGTTAACTGCTGGATGCAGACAGGAGGGACCCCTGCAGTGCACATTCAAGTGGTTTCAGAGCCACCAACCCAGCAGGCTGTGTGTAGCCTCAGGGCAAGGCTCCTGTGTCCCTTGTGAGGGTTGCTGTAGTGTCCTCAGTGAATACCTTCATTGATTTGTGACCTAAATGGACAATTTGTCCACAAGGCCGGATCCCAGTTCTGACGGCTGCAGAGCAAGAGCTCCATGTGTTGGCTTTTGTGGGTGATGACAGGCAGATGTGAGCATAGGAACAGTCACTGCCCAACCTTTTACCAGGACACCAAGTGTTCTTACTCTAGAGCAGTAAAAGCTTGATGTCTCTTAGGAAAAGCTCTTTCCCTTTGGATCCTGGGGCTTCAAGATGCCCTGCTTGTGGTCCAGCAGTTTTCACCTTGGCAGGCCCCATACTACCCCAGAGTCAAGATTTCTTGGATTGTGGCAGGGCCCTGAGTTCCTAGTGCTTTTGTTTTAGTTAAAGTACCTTCCCCATTTTTGACAAATATAACACTTAGGTTTCCTGTGGACTCTCTTTGTAAAGACCTTTCAAAAAACCACACGGAGTCAGTTCTCAGGATGAGATTCAGTGCTCTTGCCTTTGCCAGCACTGTGTCTTCTTGTGGGGAGATGGAAGCAGCTATATAGGATTGTATTTCTTGCCAAGAATTATTAAATAAAATATGGACCTATGAGTGTGTTTTCACAAAAAGCTAACATGAAAAGTAAGTAAAGAACAGAGGATAGTGTCAGATTATAATTTATTGGTCTGCAAAGCAGATTGTAAGATTAAATAAATTTAGATTTGAGTCCCAGCTTGGTTGCCTGCTGGATATGCTACCCTGGCCTCATTTTCCCCACCTATTTAAGCCATTCATTAATAATAAATACCCTTTGGAGTTTTGGTGAAAATCAAAGGAGACAATGTGTGCTGTTCTTTGTGCCTGGAATATAAAATGCCGGTAGTAAGTGACAGTTGTTATTATCATTAACCACTGTTCTTATGCCAATTGCTGTTGAGGCTGAAGTGCAGTTATGTTTACTTAGTCTTTCTGCACCTGCCTTCTTATTGAAGAGGCTAATACAAAACCCCATGTCCAGAGAACCATCCTTCCCTGCTTGTGATGGTTCTTGCCTCTAGAAGAGGGCAGTTTCTCACTCTGACTTGCTCCCTTCCCCAGGGGTCGAGGTTGGGAAGGATCAGGAGTTCGCCATTGATACCAGAGGAGCAGGAGGCCAGGGGAAGCTGGATGTGACAATCCTGAGCCCCTCTCGGAAGGTTGTGCCATGCCTGGTGGCACCCATGGTGGGTCGGGAGAGCAGCACAGCCAAGTTCATCCCTCGGGAGGAGGGGCTGTATGCCGTGGATGTGACCTATGATGGACACCCTGTGCCCGGGAGCCCCTACACAGTGGAGGCCTCTCTACCACCCGATCCTACCAAGGTCAGCTTTTGATTTTGTTCTAGAACTTGCCCATTTGTTGTCAGATGTGATACCACAGTCCTTCTCTCTGGTCCCGCCCAGCAAAGACTGTTGGAAACTCATTTTGTGCTGAAAGTCAGTTCTCAGTGACCAACTTTGATTCTCCTATCTATCAGCATGAAGAGTCCCCTGGGCAGCTGGGCCAACCCCTGCTCTTTCTATCACTGTCTGGCTAGAAGTTTTTAGTGAGGGACTCCCTATCCCTGAGTTGTTTTCCTTCGCTGGTAGCTTAATACTGGTACTTGTTTCAAAGCTAGCCTGTAAGTATAAGGCAAGATAGTGAAGATGGAGACCTCTGGCCAGTGTCCGACACACGGACTGAGCTCACCCTACAGAGACTATGATAACATAATATAAAAAGACTTTATCTAAACTAAGCATGGTGGTACACACTTGTAATCCCAGTGACTCGGGAAACTGAGGCAGGAGGATCTCAAGTTCCAGGCCAGCCTCAGCAATTCAGCAAGGTTAACTTAGGGAGATGCTGTCTCAAAAAAAAAACAACACACATTAAAAGGGCTGGGATTGTAGCTCAGTGGTATAGATCGCTGGGTTCAATCCCCAGTCCAAAAAGAATACATAATCTTCATTACTTCTTCTGGTAGCCCTGACTCAAAAAGTTTTGGGTTTTTCCCATTGTCGGAATGGTGTGAATCTATGAAATGGACTTAGTTGTTGAATCACAGATGAATGCTTCATCCCTCCCTCATTTTAACAGTTTGACTTTTTTATTGTGCAAGATTTATTGAATGAGATGTAGCATTTGTAGTTGCAGTGAGGTCTGGCCTTCTGCAAGCCCTTGACCAGGGAGACCTTTGTGTGCTTGTTGGATAGGATGCTAGTTCTCAAAGTCTGCCTCGGAGGTTCAGAAGAATATGGGATAGCAGTTAAGGGTGGGATTGCCATCTCAACTCCAGTTCCTGTTGCTTAGGCAAGCCTCCTTCCTGTGCCTTTCAGCAGTCATTGAGTTCTTAGCCATCTAGCTATTCGTGGCATTTCATCACAGCTCTAACTTGGGGGGTGTGAGTGAGTGGCACAGTTGGGCTGGGGAGAAGGACCACTTAGCTGAGGTACACTTCAATGCTGGTTGTAGTCTTGCAGCAGGCCTGGCTGAGCAGCAGTACCAGTACCAGGCGGGATTTAACTTTAATTCTTTCTTCGTATAGGTGAAGGCCCATGGTCCTGGCCTTAAAAGTGGTCTTGTGGGCAAGCCTGCTGAGTTCACCATTGACACTAAAGGAGCCGGAACTGGAGGTTTGGGCCTAACCGTGGAAGGTCCTTGTGAGGCCAAAATTGAATGCTCTGACAATGGTGATGGGACCTGCTCTGTCTCTTACCTTCCCACAAAACCTGGGGAATACTTCGTCAACATTCTCTTTGAAGAAGTCCACATACCTGGGTCTCCCTTCAAAGCTGACATTGAAATGCCATTTGACCCCTCTAAGGTTGTGGCATCAGGACCAGGTCTCGAGCTCGGGAAAGTGGGTGAAGTTGGGCTTCTTAGCGTTGACTGTTCGGAAGCAGGTCCTGGGACACTGGGCATGGAAGCCATCTCAGACTCAGGAACAAAAGCGGAAGTCTGCATTCAGAACAACAAAGATGGCACCTACGCAGTGACCTATGTGCCGCTAACAGCTGGCATGTACACACTGACCATGAAGTATGGTGGGGAGCTTGTGCCACACTTCCCTGCCCGGGTCAAGGTGGAGCCCGCTGTGGACACTAGCAGGGTCAAAGTCTTCGGGCCAGGAATAGAAGGAAAAGGTGAGTTTTATTTTTAAATAAGGGAAAGGCTGGAACTTAAGGGCTACCAGAGGCTCACAGAGCAGGGGCTCTAAACCCAGCCCCCTAGACTTTTAGGGGTCAGGTGAGGTGTAAGAGGACATGTACCTGTGGCCTCTGCTTCAGAGAATGGTTGTGGGGAAACCTGGATGAAGTGGGGAGCACATTGCTTTTCCAGAGGCTGCTCTGCTGCCCAGCCCTGTTTCTGTTTCCCCGTGGGGAACGGGGTCCAGCATTGTCAGCAGATTTTCCAGATTTTTTTGTGGCAAAGCCAGAAATATTGATTTTTTTTGGGGGGGAGGGGTTCAGTATTAGAAACAACTTACTTCATTGTCAACACTTCATTGAAAAAAATAGTTTAAATGTGATGCTGGCTAACACCACATATGCTGCAGACAGCAGGTCCGCCTGTACCCTTTAACTTGTCCTAGAACCCCACCTCCATATATGCAGGTCAAGACTTCCCTAAAAGGGGTTGTGTTGTCACAGACCAAGACTATCCTGAAAGAGGAAAAGGGGTTAATAGTCCTGATTTTGAGAGTAAGGAAACCAGTTGTCTGCTGTCATTGAAGTTAGACTTAATTCTAATGTTTTGGGGTTTGCTATTGGGTGCAAGGTGTTGTTGGGACATTCTTGTCTGTGTTGTTGCTCTGCAGATGTGTTTAGAGAAGCCACCACTGACTTCACTGTTGACTCAAGGCCCCTGACCCAGGTAGGGGGTGACCACATCAAAGCCCACATTGCCAACCCTTCAGGAGCCTCCACTGAGTGCTTTGTCACAGACAATGCTGATGGGACCTATCAAGTGGAGTATACACCCTTTGAGAAAGGTAAGATTTGCTCTTCTTGGATGTGACCCTTAATCAAAGCCATGCTGACCCCCCTGACCTATGTGCTGGACCCATCTCAGCAGATGCATGTATAAACTGAAAAGGAATGTGAAACCTCCCTCTCCAGTAGGCTACCTGCCTGCTCAGTGCCTGGCTTGCTAGTCTTTTTGTATAACAGGTAGGCTGGGGCTTAGCCTCAGCCTCACCTGAGAAGGTTATGCGGTGATGTCAAGGTATGTTGTTCATTTGTGCTATTTTTTTGTAGGTGCATATCGGGTTTCCCGTAGTCTGTTGGTTAATAGCTAGTTGGAGTTTTCTTGAATTAGGATAATATACTTAGAATTATTGACTTGAATATAGATATATTGATACTTACTTGGGGTAGCATGGGTGTGTTATGTCAAGTAAATTGCATTAATAGTTTGCTTTTTTTTTTTTTTAATAAAGAACCCATCTATACCAAAATTATTGTTTTTTTCAACCTACTCTTTTCACATGACATAGACTTGAATGACAGATAAAACCCTTAAGTACAATAGCACTTTCCACAAATAAGTGAACTTTATGCAAATATTTATTTCTGTTTGTTGTTTTGAATAGGTCTCCATGTAGTGGAGGTGACATATGACGATGTACCCATCCCAAACAGTCCTTTCAAAGTAGCTGTAACTGAAGGCTGTCAGCCATCACGGGTCCAAGCCCAAGGTCCTGGATTGAAAGAGGCATTTACCAACAAACCTAATGTCTTCACTGTTGTTACCAGGTAGGCAGGGCCCTGGGCTCCATGTATTAAGTCTGTAAAAGGAATAGTCCTATGTAATTTAACTGCTTTAAAAAAGTTTAAGGGCTGTACCCTACAGATGTGTTATGGTCTACCATCATATGTTGAAATGCATTTTTGTAATAGACTATGTTGTAGAGAAAGACCAATTGTAGTACCTAATAAAAACCTAAAAAAAAACCAAACAAACAAACAAAAAAACTTCTAAGCAAACTAGGACTAGAGAGAAGCTTCTTATTCTGATAATGCAGAAGTGTATAGCCAACCTTATATATAAAGGAATAATTAGAAATATTCCTATTAAAATGGACCACAAAGAAGGCTGGGGGTTGGGTCGCTCAGTGGTAGAGCACATGCTTAGCATGCACAATGCTTTGGGTTCGGTCCCTTGGGTGGAGTGGGCACGTATCTACATTGTATTTGCATTGTTAGCCAATGCAACTTGATAAGAAAAACAAATGAAGGAAGGATTGGAAAGGAGAGGTCAAGGCTGTATTTATATTAGACTGTTGAGAAATACCCTGGGAGAGAGGTGTTTACTTGTTTGCAGAATGAGGATGGCTCAATGAGATAGTTACTTATTATAAAGGGATTTTAAAATGAATTCTGGCAATAAACAGACTAGCATGGACTGTAAACATTTCACTTTTTCTCCACCCTTTTCTCAGAGGGGCAGGAATCGGTGGGCTTGGCATAACTGTTGAGGGACCATCAGAATCGAAGATAAACTGCAGAGACAACAAAGATGGCAGCTGCAGTGCCGAGTACATCCCCTTTGCCCCAGGGGATTATGATGTTAATATCACTTATGGAGGAGCCCACATCCCTGGTAAGCTATGCAGTGGACAGGAGTCCAAACACTAACTGATTTTGTGTGAAAATAAGTTTGATTTTGCTTATTTCTTTTGAATAGGAAAAAAAAAATCTGATATTTGTGGTAGCTGTAGAGGGGGACTTTTCCCTTTTCAGGATAGAGCCCCACCCCAGGAACCCAGGAATAGGAAGAACCTCAGTGGCTCATATAGTTTTCTCAATAACCTGGCATGGTGCTGAGAGGGAAATGGGCAGGCTGAATGCCCCACTTATGGCTTTCTGGATTGACTTCTAAGAAGCTTGAGTCACCACACACTTCCCTGATTCTGTCCCCTCTTTCTCTCTTACCATGTACAAATGTGCATACACAGTCACAGTCACTCTCTCACACACATTGATCAGAAAGTATTGGCATTGAACAGAAATTAATTCTACTCACATGTCCATATGAAATGCCAAAAGGACAAGTTTTTCCTCAAATTTGTGCTTGCACTCATTCAATAGAGATTTTAAAGATTATCAGGGTATTTCAGCCTCTGCCTCCTACCCCTAATACTATCTATTGTTTTTGCAACTGAAACTTGTAATAATTGCTACAAAGAAGAATGGAACTAGGTGACAAGATAAAGTTACAGGAGTTTTGAAGTTTTGAGAGAGTTGAGCATCAAGAGAGAGGACATGGTGACTCTTAACTAGATGGGTGAGAAGCATCTGGTTGTGGCAGCATTAGAGCTCCTTTTGACTCTTGGGAAAGTGCTGGGTACTATCAGCCTTGGAATTCCCCTACAGAAATGGATGGATGAGCATTCAGGCTCTGGTGGCTGACCCATGAGCTTACTAGAAAACAGAAAAAAGACTTATTTTGGGTATTCCCATTAGATGTTAATGATGTCTGAATTCATTTTCTCCTGAACCCCAGAACTCTATCTCAGGCAAAGACATTTATTTAAGTGATGGTTGTAGTATTAGTGTTAAGCTATATAGCTAAGGTAACTCCAAAGGCACTGAAACATTTGGTGACCTGCTAGCTTCTAATTGCTTTCGTAGGAATTCTGGGTGGTTAAATATGAGCCCACTTTTTCCTAGAGATACAAACCTCTAGTGGGATTTTGTTTATTTGTTTTTTTGTCAGTGCTAGGGATAGAACCCAGAACCTCGTGCATGCTAGGCAAGCATTCTACCACTGAGCTCCCTACCCAGCCCTCTAGTGGGGTTTTGAACAAAGTATCCTGTCATGCTCATAATGGCTTATTTGTTTCCTGTGGTGGACCAGCTGTGGTCTGTTGGAGACTGCCAAGACCACCAGGTTGACTAGGATTCAGAGTGTGTCAGGAGGAAGAGCTGCCATGATTGATTGATGTCTGCCTAAGGCAGGGACCAGGGGACTGATGGCAGACTTCCATCTTGAAATTAAGATTTTTACCTTTGTGTGTTGCTTCATACCTGCTCTCATGCTGATTCTCTGATGACTTAGAGAGTGGCCTCAGAGGTAGTCCTTGGCCCCCCCCCCCCCCCCCCCCCCCCCCCGTCATTGAAGTCCTCATCCACTATGAAATGAAGCTCCAATTTCTTTCCCTAAACCACAGCATGGAGGGCTGTGCTCATCTTTGCTGGGGTCAGCCATTATTTCATTTACTTGAAGAACTAGATGCCATTGAAACTCAGCTGTGTTGTGAGAAAACCAGGGTCTTGGTTCATTGTGTGGTCTTTTTTATTTACCACCCCTGGATCTATAGATAAACTTTCTAGGATGTAAGACAGAGAGACTTTGGATTCCATGGCTGTTAGACATCTGGTAATTGTCAGGTGTCATGGGAAACATACGAACTCTTCATATGGCAAGGAGTTCATGGAGCTTGGCAAGGGACTTGTCAGCTTAAAGCCTGGTACTGAGGACACTGGGGCTTCTGTTTCTGGGGAGGTCCCTGTCCTTAGGAAGTTCCATTGGGATTCCTGCCCCAGACCTTGTTCCTCTGTTTAGTGCTTTTCTTATAAATTCTGATCTTCCTGCATTCTCCATATTTTACTGGTCTTTAAAATTGATACTGTGGTAGGAGTCAGAGGCCTTCAGGTTTGCTCTTGGGGTCAGCCATGCAGCAGGTCCATCCAGAAATCTCAATTGTTCAGGGAACCAAGAAGGCTGTGTGTGTTTGGGGCATGCTGGCTGTGTTGGAGGGATGGAATGCAGGAACCATTTGTGGGAGAGGAGGTTGGATATAGTCTTCAAGGCCTGCCTGTCCTCCCATCACCCAGCCTCCTCCTTCAGTTCCTCCAGCAGCCTGTCTTCCCCTCACCTCTAGGCTTCTGCACAAGCTGGTCCCTCTGCTGGTCCATCTACTTCCCCTGGGTGATAGCTGCTCTTTCTTCTGTCTCAACTTAGATGTTACTGGAAGGTTTCCTCTGGTCTCCTAAGACAAGGTTCAATGTCTCCTAAGTGTTTCACCTGATACACCTTCCCACATATGTTATGTAGGATATTAGAGTGACATGCTCACACCTTGCCCTGCCTTGCAGGCTCCTTAAGGGTTGTACACCTGGCACAGTGTCTACATGTAGTAGGTGCTCCATGGCCATTGATTGGGCACATGGGTAGGCACAGCAAGGCAGGGGGAGCTGATAGAGGACTATTAAAATTGAGATTCCCTCATGTGATTCTGTGTGTGCATAGATGGGTCTCCAATTGCTAGATACTCAAAATCCCATGACCTGTTTTCCAGGTAGCCCCTTCAGGGTTCCTGTGAAGGATGTTGTGGACCCCAGCAAGGTCAAAATTGCTGGCCCTGGGCTGGGCTCTGGCGTCCGAGCCCGCATCCCACAGTCCTTCACGGTGGACAGCAGCAAAGCTGGCCTGGCCCCATTGGAAGTGAGGGTCTTGGGCCCCCGAGGTAAGTATGTGTCCTGCCTCCCTGCCAACATCACTTATCTGGGTGGGGTAGCCATGACCCAGAACAGGTACTTTGCTTTCAAATATGATCATGAACTTAAGATTACATTTCTTAAGTTATTTTATTGCTGATAATCTAGCTAAACTGTAAAAGATCCTGCTTAAAAGTAGGCAGGCCTGTTATTTCTTTAGAAGTCTGTCTTCCCCCATCCCCTTAACGACATGGCCTTAAATTTCTTTCTTTCTTTCTTTTTTCTTTTTTGATACTAGGGATTGAATTCAGGGACACTTGACCACTGAGCCATATCCACAGCCCTATTTTGTACATTTTATTTACAGACAGAGTCTCACTGAGTTGCTTATCACCTCACTTTTCTGAGGCTGGCTTTGAACTCACGATTCTCCTTCCTCAGCCTCCCGAGCTGCTGGGATTATAGGTGTGCACCATCGTGCCCGGCTCTTCAATTTCTTTTAATAATTTCACTTGTTAGAGTAGCTAGTTGAAGCAAGTAGTATATGGGCTCTCATGTAAAATTACTGCTATTGCTACAAGCAACTCAGTGAGACCCTATCTCTAAATAAAAGTCCCTGGTACCAAAAAAAGAAAGAAAGAAAGAAAAAAAAATGTTGCTACTTCTTCATTACCTACTTCAGCATTTAAGAGGTGTCTAAGGGGGAAGTCCAGATGTATGGAAGGGGTGGGATTTGAAGGCAGTAATTCTCTTTGAGATGCCTCCAGGCCCATGTAGAAAATTCTAGAATCTCTGAGAATGCTAGCTCTGTGGTATTGTGTGGTTCAGCCTCTGGGAGAGGAAAGAGGGTCTTTTGGGGAATGGGGTGGATGTTTTTTTTTTTTTTTCTCCACTGGCCTGCCCTGTTTGCAGTCTCGAATTTAGGATTGGTGTGGCAAGCAGGGTATTTGGGGACAAAACCCCAAACTGTGTTGAAACATGACTTTTTTGGTAAGTGACCGCATTCACATTCCCTCTTTTGGCATTTAAAATGTGCCTTTATTCTCATACACAATTCTTAAATAATCTGGATTTTTCCCCTGTTCTGTGTTCTTGGCTTCCAGGAGTGACAAATAGGGGGTTCCTCCTTTGAGGAGGAACCTTCTCCTTAATGGGGTTCAGCAGGAGGTTAGGCCCTTTGAAGCTCAGGGCAGAAGTGGTTTGGGGGAAATGAGGTCATGGGACTGGACTCCAATTCTGTGAAGTTACTGAGCTTTACTGTGCGTGCATGCATGTGTTTGTGTGAAAGTTTTACTTAGATATCTTCTTTTATCATGGAGAACTCTCAAGTAACAGCCTTTTAATTTTAGCTGATGAGATGGATTCCCAGTCATGGCGCAGCCCCTTGAAAGCCATTTCAGAGTTCTTTAAAGGTGACCCGAAGGGTGACTTTATGGAGACAGGTTTGCATTTTTCCATTGGGCTGCTGCTTTAAATTATGTAACCTAAATTCTTTTTGCTGGCCTTGCCTCTAAAGTTGGCTTGTAGCTGCCTCACTTGCTTTATTTAATGAGCATGCTATGCTTTGATTAGCCTACCCTGCCATTGACTGATCTTGACTCTCATGTTAAGGACTGCAATCTGGAATCTATGAACACAGTGCATGCCTTGATTATACTTTAACGTGATCTCTAAGCATCCCCTACAGAAATCACATTGGAGGTCCCCTCATCCCATGAGATTGACACCCTCACCTGCTCTGTACCTATACCCCAGCATGCTAGCATTTTATAGTGGTCTTAGCTCAAAAATGATCACAGATCTTGACTGGCCATCCCATTGGTTAACTTTTGCTGTTCAGCGTTCTGGACTTTTGGGCACTTTCTCAGCTACAGAGTAAAAATTGCCACATCCCAAGCATGCCTAACCAGCTTGAAAGGATATAGCATGTCCACAACATGTGCCTTCACCATACGCCCTCCAGCAGCAAGCACAGGCAGTCTCCTTAATTATACTCTAGGGCAGACTGAGTGTACTTTAGCCAACCCCAAAAGCTAAAGGTGTCTCTTGGGGTCATTTCTGCAACCATGAATTGGGGATCCTGTGATTTCTTAGGCCTATGATTATGGCCTGCTTGTCTTTATGTTACTCATCAGTGGAAACCAATAGCTCTTGGGGATAGATGTGATGCTGTTTCAGACGCAGCCAAGGGTGAAGTGAATTGGAGGCCAAGCAGTCACTCAGACCTCTCATCTTTGTCCTCAGGTCTGGTGGAGCCAGTGAATGTGGTGGATAATGGGGATGGCACACATACGGTAACCTATACCCCATCGCAGGAGGGGCCTTACATGGTCTCAGTTAAATATGCTGATGAAGAGATCCCACGAAGGTAAGTGCCTCTCACCTGAGGCATGGATCTAAACCAGCCTTAAGCCCACCCAGCTGCAGGATTGGCTAGCATTGCTGTGGTAGCCCCACCCACCTACTTCATTCATCCAATCAGCAGATTTTATCCTGAACCTGTGTTTTCCACACACATTATACACTAGTTTGTTATTTGTGGTTCCCATCCTGCTGTTCTGCCTTTACTTTTATCCATCTTTAGTTTAAAAGCAAGCTGAAATTAAGAAGATGGGGAATTTTGGAAAAACAGGAATGTATTAGTTTACCAGAAGCTCCCATTTGGTAACTGTGCAAATGGTTTTCTCATTAAGACAAAGGTCTTTACCACTTCATTTGAGAGTCTGGTTGACAGTAAACATTCTCAGAAAGATGTTGAGTAGCAGCTTTGTTCCTTGTTTATACCAATACAAAAAATGTGTAAGTTCTTTAGCTCTGGAATAACATCAAAATTTTTTTTTAATCATGCCCCTTAAAATGGAAGACTTACCTCTAACCTTAATATATACATTTTATATGGAGATCAAAACATAGCTAGCTCTAGCTGTGTAGAAATTCATTATTTATGAATTACATTTGCATATTGCTTTACTTGTCGATTGTGTACCATGTAAAGCATACTAAATATAGAACAAGAATAAATATCATTATAGAATGAGATAAAATATTAAAGACTAGTATTCTTTCCATTTTGGTTACCATTGTCTTAGCATAATAAAAGTATTAAATAGGTTTAACCCCGAGTTTCCCAAACTAATTTGGGAGCCTGGCTTCCCTAAACTATTTATATTCCATGAAATGAACTCAGGGCAAGGCTGGTCTGGCATATGATGGCTACTACCTCATAATTCTAGATTTCTACTGGACTTAAGCCACTTTGATTAAACTCATTTTCTTATCTCCTATAGAAATACTCCTGTCAGTCCTAGTCTGGCTGTGTAAGAGAGGTCAGATGTGGCTGGACTGACCCATATCCTTACTGACGAGGGTATTTGTCTATCAAGTCCCTTTAAGGTCAAGGTTCTTCCCACATATGATGCCAGCAAAGTGACCGCCAGTGGCCCTGGCCTCAGTTCCTATGGGGTGCCCGCCAGTCTGCCCGTGGAGTTTGCTATCGACGCCAGAGATGCTGGGGAAGGCCTGCTTGCTGTCCAGATAACGGTAACCTTGAACTGTTTTTTTGAGCCAAGCCTTATTAGTAAGACCTAATTTTCTCGCCAAGGATAAGAACAAAGGTTTTCATAACTAAAACCAGAACTGATGCAATTATTTGTTAGATTTTCCAAGAGTCACTGTATGTGTGGGAGAATAAGCATGCTCACCTGAGAGGCTTTATTTATTTATTTATTTATTTAGGTGGTGCTGGGGATTGAACCCAGGGCCTTCTGTTTGTGAGGCAAGCACTCTACCAACTGAGCTCTATCTCCATCCCAACCTGAGAGGTTTAACTCTGGGTATCACTTTGTAGTAAATCTCCTGTATTTTCATGTTACATCTCTGTTTTTATTTTTTAAATGTTTTAAATTACCTATTGGATCATTTGGGACTACTTTCTGCTATATATCCCAGTAAACCTCCAAATAAGTATGGCTTCAACATAAGATCATCCTCTCTTGGTAAAGAAGCCAGGTGGTAAGCCACTGAAGTATTCTATGGCTCTCCAAGGGAACCAGCTCCATCTCTGTGCTCCTCTGTCCTAATGTGTGGCTTCTGTCTTTAAGTTCTCCTCATGACCATGAGACTGTCAGTGCTCTGGCCATCAGATCTTCATGGCAGGCCAGGAGGAGGAAAAAGGGAAGATGGAGAAGTGGGGCGCTCTTCCAACTCAGTCAGCTATCTTAAGCAGCCCCGTCAGAAGACTTCCAGCCTGTCTCATTTGGTAGAAGTTAACCATCAATCACATGGCCATGTCTGGTACCAAGGATGCCAAGACATGGAGCTTTGTATTTTGGGGGCTATGTACCTCGCCAAGAATGAGGGAGTCCTATTAGTAAAGGACACAGGGAGAGTAGATGTAGCAGCATGTGAGCAGGAGATTCTCCCCTTACCTCTGCATTTCATGCATTTGGAGCTAAAACATTATTTGTTTACTTAACAGATCATTGTGGCATGATCTGTGACCCTGTCCTCTGCCTACCAACACAGCAGAACAAGATTATATTAAGCCATCACTTCTGTCTCCTCCCACTAAAAGCACGAATCAATGAGCAAGATATGTCAAGGATTTCCATGAACTTGCTCTACCTGTTGGAAGCAACATCCTGAGTAGCATATCTCTTTTATCCACAGGACCAAGAAGGAAAACCCAAAAGAGCCACTGTCCATGACAATAAAGATGGCACATATGCTGTCACCTACATCCCTGACAAGACTGGACGCTATATGATTGGGGTCACCTATGGGGGGGATGACATCCCGCTTTCTCCTTACCGCATCCGAGCCATGCAGTCAGGTGACGCCAGCAAGTGCCTGGCCACGGGTGAGTGCAGGGTAACATTAGGGCCAGGAGGGTGGGTTGTGGAGTCAGAAAGTCAGGTTCTAGCCCTTCTCCGCCACTTAATAGCTGTGTTATCTGGGCGAGTTGCTCAATCTCTCTGAGCTTCAGTCATACATAGATTGAAGATCTATTTGGGGAACATTCAGGTTCAAGAAGTTCTTGCATGGGTCAGAGACTGTTCCACAGGATTATTGCAAAAATTAAGTGAGGGTGAGGCATGAAAAATGCTGAGCACAGTACCAGGTTCACGGGAGCTATTTATTATATCACTTTTGAAGTGGCTATATTTGTTGAGGTCTCAACTATGATGGTGACTCCCATGAGAAGCTGCAATTTTCTGCCTTCATGAGTAGATGGTTGAGTTATTTAAGATTCAGGAGCATTTCAGTTCAGCATCAGAGAAACACATGAAAGGATCTAGGGTTTTCCTTTCAGGAATTCTCCATGGATAACTGAGCCTCACTGTTCCTTCAATTTCTTAGGCATGAATAGTTGACTGTCATGGGCCTTTCAATTTGTAAGAATAGCTCCTGCAGCTCAGGGTTGCTGCTCAAGTAGATTTCAAAACATGAAATGAAATAGATTTGCTTCTCTTGGACCTGGGTTGTTTTTTTTTTTCTTACTCTGGCTTTTAGGTCAGGGTTGTCAACTGCTCCTCTTGGCCCTTTTTGTCTTACTCATTGCAAAAATTAAGAAATTTTGAAATGTTGGCCAGTTGCCACCCCCGTTCCTGTAGTGACCCCTGACCCTAAAAGGGCATGTTAATGTGGGAAGGGGGTTTCTTTTTGCTTTCCAGACTCTGTTTCCTCCCCTAGCACAACCAGAGTCCTGAGCAGAATACTCTCCTCGACAGTGTGGTTCCTGTTGGCCGTATCTCTTGGTCTGTCCTTCATGGCCTTCCACAGATTGGCTCCAGTCTTCTCCTCTACCTACCCTCTGTGCAAATGTTCTTACCACTCCCTGATGCACCTAAACTTCATGCTCATTTTTGCTGATGTGTTTTTAGTTTACACTTCTCTGTACTTTCTGATTTTATATAGATCCTGGGTAAAGGAGTGCCATAAGTCAGAGAAAGAGAATGGCTATTGTTTGGAAAGAGGTTACTAAAAAAATGCCTATCCTTCAGAGTTGAACCATTTTTTTCTTTTTTGGGGGAGTGAGGGGGGAAGATTGCCCTCTATCAATGCGGCAACTCTGAGATGTAAATTCTTAGAACCTTTGAATAGGTGGGAGGTGGAACACTTATCAGAAGAACGATTGATTATTTTATCTATGACTCAGTCCCTGCTCAGCCATTTCCATGGCAGATAGAGCTGTCATTCTTAGCACTGGCCCACATCTGTCTTGTTAGACTATAAGCATCTGAGAGGAGGGACTGTGTCTTGTTTCCCTTTGTATGGGCCTGGCTCTTAAGAGCATGCCTAGTGTGTTTGCTGATGATAGTCGACGTTCATCTCCATACCCTTGGACATGAGCAAACCAGGCTGTTTCCTTTGGAGCTGGGGGGGACTCAGAAATGACAGTTGCTCTTATTTATGAAGGATAGGTGGGATACTCCTTAAGCGGCACCCACCCCCTCCGAAAAGTGATCTTTGGGAGAGTCCCATGTGGCAGCAGTTAAATGCCTAATATTTACAGCTACAAGCAGCACAAATGTGTATGATTTGTTCTTGGGCCTCTGGAGTATGTGTCCCTGCTCATGCTTCTATTATCTTCTCCTGAACCTTTCCGCAGGTCCTGGCATTGCCCCCACTGTGAAAACTGGCGAGGAAGTGGGCTTTGTGGTGGATGCCAAGACTGCTGGGAAAGGGAAAGTGACCTGCACAATTCTTACCCCAGATGGTACTGAGGCTGAGGCTGATGTCATTGAAAACGAGGATGGCACCTATGACATTTTCTATACAGCCGCCAAGCCCGGCACTTATGTGATCTATGTGCGCTTTGGTGGTGTTGATATTCCAAATAGCCCCTTCACTGTCATGGTAAGTAAAATTCCTTCTCCAGAGTGTGCTCTTTTTAGCAGATATAGTAACAGCAGCCATTTGTTGAGCCCTGACTAGGATATCCTCTTCCACAGAGTCACGACCTCATAGAGCCCTAGCATAATCTCCAGAATCATAGAGACCCTTTAGCTCTAAGGTTTTGGGGGAATCTCATCAGCCACCAAAGTATCTATCATGCAGAGGGACTTGGACAATGCCCTGGCCTAAGCCCAGTTCAAAAAAGTTCTCTTGAAAAATACACTTTTATAAAACAGAAAGGAAAACATGACAGTTTTCACTCTGCTAGTTCTTCCTGTGTCTTCCTGCCTACCTCCATGGTTGGAGAAGAGAGAGTCCTGAGGCTTTTCTGTTTGCAGATTTGATTCTCTTATCTCAGGACTGAAAGTACCTGCAGTTGTTTTTAGGGAAGATTCATACTTTACATATTAGAGGGGAAACACCTTGTCTTTTTTTTTTTTTTTTTTTTTTTTAATAGTTGTAGATGGACAGCATGCCTTTGTTTTATTTATTTTTAATGTGGTGCTGAAGATCTAACCCAGTGCTTCACACATACTAGGCAAGCGCTCTGCCACTGAGCTAGGGCCCCAGCCCAACACATTGTCTTTTGAAGCAAGGAACATCTGGAATAGAAAGGAACCAGCATGTGAACATCTGGGCTAACTCATAACTAGAGTCTTTAATTTTCAATTTTTTGGTTGAAATAATCAAATCTTCCTCTAGTTAGGTTATTCCACCAGGAGTGGGGATAGAACTTTAGGAGAATTACCTTATGTAACCCTCAGGACCAAGCCTGTTGGCCCTTTTACAAATGAGGCGTGCCTGGTCTAGACAGATACCAGGTGCCTTCCAGTCTCCCTCCCTATGCCCTTTGATGCAAGGAGCAGCCTCCATCCTCCACAGATTCATAGGCCCCTGATGACCTGGCCCTGCCCACAGCCTGCAAAGTGCTTTGTAATTATTTCTTGTTGTGCAGCGATGGAGAAGGACATAAAGGTTCCATTCCAAACAGAAGCCCGAGGACTTTCTTCCAAACAGTCTATAATCTATTATAGCTTTTTTTCTTTTCCCTTGACATTTGTATGTGTGTAAACATCATGCCAGAGGTCTGGAGGCTCTTTTCTATCTCAAGTATGTAAACACTTGTCAGCTTTGGATGTTGTCCATTGGGAGTGTTTTTCCCCTGCAGGGAAAAAAGCAGTGTAGCTCAAAAGTGTGTATCCTTATTATACAGAAGAGTCCCATTGTAGTTTTAAGAATCTGGTTTTTTTTTTTTTTTTGTCCCTAGTGAGTTTTATGTTGTTAGAATTGGATGGAAGAGCAGCCTCCAAGTGAAGGTCATGGCTCTGCTGGTACAGTGGCCTGGGGATAAGAGACTCCAGATTGATAAGGTCAGAGTGAGAAAATCAGGGTGTAAAACATTGGGAACCATCTTAGCAGGTGAATGAGAGAGGCTGAAGTTGAGGCTTTTAACTTGGTTAGAATAAATGTCCCCTGATCCTTTAGTAAACAGGCAAGGATACTTTGTGGATGTTCACTACCCCCTGACCACTGCTGAAGGTAGAAAGGCATGATCCCTCATGGTACCTGGTTTGGTACTTTATTCTCCCATTTCACACTTTCCCTAAACATTTCTAAATGAATGACTTCCACTGGATAAGTTTTCTGCCTTCCCTTAGAGGGTTAAAGGCAAAAGGACATGGGCACCTGGCACTGCATTGGTAGTGTATATCTCAAGGAGACCGGCAAGCTGATTCAGTTAGGTTCATCACATACATGCCCATGACATCATGGATGAGCAGTTTTACTGCCTGTCACTGTTGAGAAGTCCTAGATCAAAGGCCATAGTCTAACTCTTGGAAGATCTTTCTCCTGGCCAATGTAGCCCTGCATTCACCCCAACTTGAACAGGCCCTGCAAGGCCTGTTCCTAAACTAGCAGCTCACAAGGCCTGCAAACAGAGCCCTTCTTGCATATACTACAGCACATAAAAAGAGCTAACCTGAGCACAAGGCCCCTGTAGAAGAAGCCTTTGCTGCTTATTCTGTTATGACAAAAGAAAGATGTTGAGGGGCTATCTCTACATTGGGTCAGTTAGATCAGAAGCATGAAGTCTTGAGATTTTTAAAAAATGAATTTATACCAGTGACTTGATGCTGAGACAGGAGGATCACAAGTTCAAGCTGGTCTTGGCAACATAGCAAAAACCTCAGCAACTTAGGAGACCCTGTCCCCCCAAAATAAAAAGGACTGGGGATATAGCTCAGTGGTAAAGTGCCCCTGGCTTAAATCTCTGGTACCAAAAAAAAAAGAAAGAATGAATTTATTAAAAAAAAAAAACAAAAAACCCGAAGATATTTATCAAGTAAAAAGACCACTTCTTTCCTGACACCATGCTTCAGAGAGGACTGGTGTCAGTTTTTCTCTGCTTATACAACAGATACCTCAGTTTTGTGCATGGGATCATAACATATGTTATTTTACAACTTGCTTTCTTTTTTCAATATGCCATATACCTTTCCACATTAATTAATCAATTTCAGTGCTTCTTCAGAATGGCCACTCAGTGTTCCCTTGGACAGTCTCATCACAATTTATTTGACCAAAGTATCTTACTGATGAATATTAGGTTGCTTCATTCTTTCACAAGTGGCTCCTAGTAGAATTCCCTGTGCACATCAGTCATCTATGGTGTCTCATGCCAGCATAGGCCTGCTAGAATTGGGATTCAGGGTTAAAGGACATGTGCATTTGACAATTAAAAAGAGAACACCAACTTGTCCTCTAAAAGGTAGTATGAATGTATCCTCCTGCTAGAGCAAGCCCCTTCCTGCTGTACCAGGTGGAGCAGTGGGGAGGAGGCAGCTCCCAGGTTGTAGCATTTGTTGAGTTACAATATCCCTCCAATGTGATTCCCAACTAATCTCCATTTGCCACTGACCAGGCCACGGATGGGGAAGTCACAGCCATGGAGGAGGCACCGGTAAATGCATGTCCCCCTGGATTCAGGCCCTGGGTACACCTTTGTTTTTGTTTTTTCTTTTTCCTTTTGTATTTCTGTGTTTACTCAACCTTCATTTCAGAAAAGCTGCCACCTGCTTCTCGGGATTGCTTAAGCCCTCTGGGTGTCCTGGTCATTGGTGTGTTCCTTCTACTGATCAGTCCATCATGATGATCCTGCTTTTTCTATAAGATCCACCTTTGTGTCAGCGTCCATGCTCCATGAATCGCCAGCCATCATGTCTGTGATCCCTCTTGGTGCAGTTTGTCTTCGTGTTTAAAGAGCAAGGTGGACAGTTCTCTGCAGGCCTCTTGCTGGCTCAGAGCTGCCACTTGTCCATTTGTTTTCTGTTCAGGGGCACAGCCACCTGCTGCTATTCTCTGGCACATAAAATGCACCTTCCTTTCCAGGCCACAAGCAACTAAACCTCTCCAGGTGGAGCCTCTTGGGACTTAGACATTGCTGTGTCTTACTTTTCCACTTTCTTATGGGCTCTGCTGGGAATTTTACAAGCAGGCTGCTGAGTGAATTTCTAGCTATTCATCAATGGGACTTCTCCAATCCTTCAAGTTCTGCTCTGGGCCCTTTGGTTAGTTAGACACAGTGCATAGGCAGCCATATCCCCAATCTTGGCCTCACTGACTTGCAGAATTCCCAGCAGCTCTGCTCCCTATAGCTTCATTAGCTCATTTTGTTGCCCACTTGACCAGGTGATCACTGCTTCCTGTTTTTAGGTAACTGAAGAGGCGTATGTCCCAGTGAGTGACATGAATGGACTGGGATTTAAGCCTTTTGACTTGGTCATTCCATTTGCTGTCAGGAAAGGAGAAATCACAGGTAAGCCTTCTTTGCATTGGGAGCCGAGAATGGTATTGGGGAGGTACCACTATCCCACAGACCTAGGATCCTTAACCCAGTGCCCCTGGTGCTTGCTCTGGGGCATAGTCCTGTATTACTTTCTTAAGAGAGCCTGTGATTCCCTCTAGGTTTAGAATTGCTATTTTAGATACCTCCTGACTGTTAGTTTCCTGTTCCCCCCTTTTCTTTCTGCCTTTTCTTTTTTTTTTTTTTTTTAAATATTTTTTAGTGTTGACAGACCTTTATTTTATTCATTTATTTATATGCGGTGCTGAGAATTGAACCTAGTGCTTCACACATGTGAGGCAAGCTCTCTACCACTGAGCCACAACCCCAGCCCCTCTGCCTTTTCTTATTTGCCCACTTTTCCAAATGCAGTTGATGCTGAGGTTGGTTATACAAGAGTTACTTTCTCTCCTTGCCCCTTTCTAATGCCAGCTTCTCTTTGAGTAAATGTTCTATTTATCCTTCTGGTTTTGTGGTCCTCTCAAATCCTATTTGAGCTTCTAATTTGCCAGTTGTAGAAACCCTTTACTTATGAGTTGCCTGCTGCATTTTTTGGAAGCCAAAGGGAACCAAAAAAAGCAAAATAGGTCTCCATTTTCCAGCTGTGGGACTTGGATGTTTTAGGCAGCATCAGTCTTCTTGGGTCTGAAAACCTGTGTTTTGAGGACGTTTCTGTGTTGCGCTCAATTTCTTGGAGAAAGTCACCATGAGCCCATTACCCTGTGTCCCTGTGCTCCACAGGAGAGGTCCACATGCCTTCTGGGAAGACAGCCACACCTGAGATTGTGGACAACAAAGATGGAACAGTAACCGTCAGATATGCCCCCACTGAGGTCGGGCTCCACGAGATGCACATCAAATACATGGGCAGCCACATCCCTGGTAAGTAGGATTCAGCAGCGTGGCCAGCAAAACCAGCAGGACTCTACGATTCAAGGACCTGAAAAGCTGGGGGGCTGGCAGACGTTCCAGGCAGGCCGTGCAATAAATGGTTCTCTGTGGCAGGCTTAGGGAATGCAGCCTTGGCATCCCTGTGAAACCAGGAAGCCTAGGATCCCAGCACATCCAGCCAGTTTCCCGAAGAGATGATGCAGCTCTGCCTCCTGGGTCTCAGTGCAAGCCTTCAGGCCTGTGGTTGTTTGTCTTTGTTGCTACATGATGGAGTATGACCAGAGGTCAAGCTGGGAGAAAAATATGAGGCGCAGTGAGGGACTTTCCAGCCTGGCCTGCAGAACCCTGTGTGGTGTGGGCTTTGGGGCAGGGTCAGAGCAGGAACAGAAGGGTGGACAGCCTTGACGAGGAAAGCCAGCTCAAGTTTCGTGGCCATCAAACAACATAGTGCTAGTCTTGTTCTTTTTTTTTTTTTCATTTGTCTTTGTTCAAATATTTTTTAGACTCATTTTTTGAGTAAGTAGCATATTCACATGGTTTAAAAACAAAAGCCATGTGGAGAACTCTTCCCCACCCACCCACTCATTTCTTCCATCTACCCTCTTCTTGAATATATTAGTGATTTCTTATGCTTGATTTCAGGATATTTTAAGAAATGGATTAGGCACCCCCATCTCCCCATAAACATAAATAGTAGCATCTGTACACATTTATCTATCTTTGCTCTTTTCATCTCTCACATGGACCTTCACCCTGTTTGGATGAGCCATTATATATGTGACCAATTTCCTTTCAGAGGGCATTTTGGGTTCCACCTTTTAGCTGTCACCAGTCTTTTTACATCCATCTTCTCACATTTTTCACTGGGTACCTGTGGGAGTTAGGCCTTAGAGGTGTGGGACACAGGTGCTGTCTTCTGTGGGTTGGCTATATCTTGCCAAATTGTCCTTCCTGGGGGCTACTCCATCCATACCCCCACCAGCAGTGGAGGAGAGCACCTGCCTCTTCACAGTATGGACAGGGAAATGTGCTTTCAGATTTTTGGATCTTTGTGAGTATGAAGTTGAGGAAAGCAGTATCTCAAAGTTGCTTTATTTGCATTTCTCTTGTGAACCAGATCAAGCAACTGTCGATACATTTGAGTGCTGTTCGTATTTCTTTTGCTGTGAACTGAACATTTCTATCCTTGGTCTATTTTTCTATTTGGTTACTGGCCTTTGTCATATTGATTTTGGAGTACAATGTAAATATTGGAGAAATTAGCCCTTCATGATAGCAGTTGCTAATACTTGTCTGAGTTTCGCATTTCCTTTTGTTTATGTTGGTATGTATGCATGATATTTAAAAAACAAATGTATTGTCTACATCTATTTAAATATTCTAGAGATACAGATGGTAGAGAGAGTAAGAAAATGTCTTTCTCACATTGCCTTTCTACTCCCTGCCTGGGTAAATCAGATGTTTCTCTGTATCCCTGCTAACATGCATACAGTTGTGTTCTGTTTTGTTTTTGAAAGAAAGACAAATTGGTATTAATATTATATAGCAACTTACTTTTTCTCTTTTTAACACAACCTACTATAGATAATCTCTCAAGTTAGAACACCAAAATCTCTCTGTTTTTTATTTTTAAATGGCCAACGAATAGACCTATTTCTCCTGTATTGTTGGACACTGGGGTCTTTTCCTGATTTGCATGTGAACACTGTGGGAATTAAAGTGTTCTTTGCATAGGGCTGGGAATGGATCCCCACTGTGGGATCCATTACTATCTCCCTAGATCAATAAGGACTTTCGTTTTGAATGGCACAGGCAAATGGCCTTCCAAAAAAGACTTTTCCAGACCTTTCCCTCTAGTAGTAGATCATTTCCTCTCATACAGTGCAGTGATTCCTCTGCTTTAGCCACTGGCCCCCAACCCCAGTCTGGAGTAGCCCTGGGCACTGTTTTTCTCTTGTGAAGGAATGATACTCATTTGACCCCCTCAGAGTCCTAATGTGGTGAGGCAAGGCATCTCCTTTTATCTTCCGCCTCTCCTCAGGAACCGCCTGTGGTTGGGTGAACTAACATTAAAATACCTGTCATCTGAGTGTTCGTTTATCATCTAATGAATTCCAATTTTGTGTTTTTCTTTGGCAAACCCAGAGAGCCCTCTCCAGTTCTATGTGAACTATCCCAACAGTGGGAGCGTTTCTGCATATGGTCCAGGCCTGGTGTACGGAGTAGCTAACAAAACGGCCACTTTCACCATTGTCACCGAGGATGCAGGAGAAGGTACTGGGTGGTTTATATGTTTATGTGCTTCTGGCCTTTCATTTGGGGAGTTAAGTGGACATGATTCCAGGGAAGCTTTTTAAAATGAAATTATTACCAGGTACTGTGGCACACACCTGTAGTCTCAACACTGGGAGGTTGAGAGGGGAGGATTACTTGAACCCAGGAATTTGAGACCAGCCTGAGCAATGTAGCAAGACTTTGTCTCCAAAAAAAAAAAAAAAGAAAAGAAAATATTGAGTAGTAATATTTGCATTATCTTTTCTCTCACATAGATCTATGTATCCTTTAGGTCGACTCTGTCTTCTACCTATTACAGAATTTCTTTTTCTGGGGACAGAATCGATGGCTTTGAGCATGCTAACCAAGCACTCTATCTACCACTGAGCTATATGCTCAGTATTCCAATACATACATTTTTGAAGTCCTGTGTTCCAATTAAAATCAAATTTGTACTATGAAATATTTTATATGACTCACCTGGAATTAACGTGCTTTTGTTGAAGATGTTCTTCTTGTCCTTTTTGCACATGTATCCACAGATCCTCCTGTAAGTTACTTTAGCGACTCATTCTAGTTAAAGCTCCGTGCCCATGTCCTCTGTATTTCCTAACCTGTGGTTCTAGTGGATTTCTGTGATGGTGTCTAGCTAACAGGGATAGAATGTGTGTGGCACCACCCTGTATGTGTTACTGACCTACAGGGCTCCATGTCATTCTTGTCCCACACATCCTGAAGAGTTAGGGGTTACTAGAGAGAACCCAAGGCAGACAATGGGATGTCTGCCCAGTGAGCTTTTCCCTCTTGTAAATTGCTTCTTTGTTACCTAGGCCCCTTGTACAGCACACACATGGAGTGTGTCAGCCTGTTGTCCTTGGCATCAGGGTTGCCATGGCTAAGTTGTCACTGTGGAGACAAAGTCTCTTAAGTGCCCTCCCTCCCTGGTTCATTCACAGGTGGTCTCGATTTGGCTATTGAGGGACCCTCGAAGGCAGAAATCAGCTGCATTGACAACAAAGATGGGACGTGCACCGTGACCTACCTGCCTACACTGCCAGGCGACTATAGCATTCTGGTCAAGTACAATGACAAGCACATCCCTGGCAGCCCCTTCACAGCCAAGATCACAGGTAGGTTCCCTGGTTTGCTAGGGTCGTCCTCATGGGACGATATACCTGCCTCAGACAGCCATTCTCTCTGCATGAGACCAGGGGTGGCAAGCTGTATCTGTCTGAATTTAGGTTTCATAGAGACTCTTTGGAGGAGCATCCATGGTGTAAGTCCACCTTCAGGCAGGCTAAATTCTTCCCTTCACTGATAACCTAGGGAAAAACAAAAGCTACCATTTCGAGGGTGATTATTTTATGCCAGTATAACTTCATCATGCAAAGAACAAGCCCTCAGAGAGAGGCATGCAGACAATACTGCATGAGTACAATAGTTCAGAGAAGTCCAGCATCACTACCAGGCAGTTTTTCTGTTCTCCATTTTATAGATGAGAAAACCATGGCTTGGTAAGGTAGTAGCTTAGTTGAGTTCTCGTGTGGGTATTCTAAGATTCAGGATAAGTTATCCTATTCCAAAGCTTATGTTCCTAACCTCTATTCCACCTGCTGGGTTTGGTTCTAATTTTCAGTGGGTTATAAGGAAAAAATACAAGTTGAGGTTCATGTCCCCGTGGTGTTTCAACCTGTCTGAAGCAGTCAGTAGCCCTCTGTGGACCACGATCAGTGCGTCCCTGAGAAATGCCAAACCATAACAACAGGTGGGAAGTGCCTTCCATTTCCATTCAAAAAGTGGCCTATAAGGATCCACATCCCCAGCTCCTGCCAGCTCCTAGTCTTCCCTTGAACCAGGCATGAGTACCAATCATTCTTTGTTGGTCCTGTGTGCTTATGGTCAGAGCCACATTTTGTCACTTAACTGGGTATTTAATTCTTACCTGTTAATCTGTCAGTGGCATTTGGAGTGAGGGCTTCCATGCAGCCACATGTAACAGGAGCCTTGTTGGGGCTGTTTCCCAGATGACAGCAGGCGTTGCTCCCAGGTGAAGTTGGGCTCAGCTGCTGACTTCCTACTTGACATCAGTGAGACTGACCTCAGCACACTGACAGCCAGCATTAAGGCACCATCTGGCCGTGATGAGCCCTGTCTCCTGAAGAGGCTGCCCAACAACCACATCGGTGAGTGCCTTCCAGGTGGTGAGCTCGGACTCATGGCTGGGGAATGGGCTCCTGAGGTGCTTTCTTGGTGGCACATTGGAGTGTGACATGGTAAACTTGTTGGGTCGCATGCATGAAGAAAGTCTTCGTTCTGATATTGACACCCTTGGATACTCTGGGTTGTTGTAAATTTAGGAAGGAAATTGTCAATTACAATTTTGAGAATATGACATTCCCTTTCTCCACTTTCTCTCCTCCATCTCCTTCTTTCCTCTTACATACCTCAATGTATGTTTTGGTCCAGGCATCTCCTTCATCCCCCGGGAGGTGGGTGAACATCTGGTCAGTATCAAGAAGAATGGCAACCATGTGGCCAACAGCCCTGTGTCCATTATGGTGGTCCAATCGGAGATTGGTGATGCACGCCGAGCCAAAGTCTACGGCCGAGGCCTGTCAGAGGGCCGGACTTTTGAGATGTCTGACTTCATTGTGGACACAAGAGATGCAGGTCTGTGGCATGGTTCCAGGGAAAATATCCAGAACTTGTAGGAATTGGCTTTTTTTTGCTCAGTCTGCTTCATTTTCATCCTACCAACTCCCTTTTCTCTCTGAATAGTCTTTAAACTCAGAGAGGTCCTTGAGGGTCCTTTTACCTACATAATCATTTAAACCTCATGACCATGGAATGAGAACATATTTGTTTTATAAATAAAGAAACTAAGGTTCACAGGGCTTATACCTGCATTTGCTCCTGAGATTTGAACCCAGATCCACAACAACTCACAGACCTGTGTTTTGTTGCCTATATTGCCGTCAGTTTATTCTTCTCATGGTGAGTCTCCTGGTTTTACCCTAAGGTGTAGAATGTTGGGCCAGGTGGCCAAGGTAGTATTCTCCTGACTGGTTTCATGGACATGGTAGATGTTCATGAGGAAGGAGTCCTCTGGATAAAGCCTTGTTCAGCAGTTTAGTCACTGCATGACTTCTCAGAGGCTTTTAAACTGCTCTCCTGTCCCAGGCTCTCCAAATAGGGCTGATATTACTTTCTGCTGTCTAGAAATAGTTTGCATTTCAGGGGTCAGATGTCCCTTCTATAGTCAGTGGGCTCCCACTTGTCAGGGAGTTGCTATCAGAATGGCTGGGGGCTGCTGTGTTGCAGGTTATGGTGGCATATCCTTGGCAGTGGAAGGCCCCAGCAAGGTGGACATCCAGACAGAGGACCTGGAAGATGGCACCTGCAAGGTCTCCTACTTCCCCACCGTGCCTGGGGTTTACATTGTCTCCACCAAATTTGCTGATGAGCATGTTCCTGGTACGTGTTACATCTGTCCTCCTTTTCTGGTGCTTGGGATTTCTGTAAATGCTGTGCCTGGCCTCTGGGCACTCATGAGCACCTTGTTGGTTTTTCAGGAAGTCCATTTACTGTGAAGATCAGTGGCGAGGGAAGAGTCAAAGAGAGTATCACCCGGACCAGCCGGGCCCCCTCAGTGGCCACTGTTGGGAGCATCTGCGACTTGAACCTGAAAATCCCAGGTGGGTGCATGGGATCAGGGCATAGTAGTAGGCACCACAGAAAACCAATTCCAGGCCTAGCTCAGAACGCGTTACCTAAGTCAGCTCTGGTGACCTTTTTATTTCATTTCATTTTTTTTTCAATATTTATTTTCACAGATGCCTAATTACCTGCTATCTTTCTCTTCTTCCAAATGAAAATGGCTTTATTATGTTACATGGGCAGAACATGGATATGCTTTTAGGTTTACTATTTGCCAAAAAGAATAATGTCAGTGACAGCACTGGTCACACTTCTAGATACAGATGCCAGTGTCTGGAAGGATTTAAGTGACATTGGCCCTGCAGTGGCCTTCTAACATTTCTACTCATCTCTTTCATGCCTAAAATTAGGAGGAGGGCTGTACCGCAAAACTGGGTGGGCCACATCCAGCCCTTTGGCGATGAATTTTTCCTCGTGGGGCCAATGAGCAGTAAACAGGCCACACAGTCTGTCTGGAATGTGGTTCTAGTTCTTTCTATAGGGATCCTCCCAAACAAAATTCATGGTGTCAGTGAGAGTTCTGAGCTCCTCCACCCATAAGCTGGCATGCACTGCTTCTGCAGAGAAGGAAAATCAAAACTTGGGTGTGATCTCCTTGAAAGAGGACTGGTTTTCCTGTTCCTAGTATATTGTGCATCTATTTACTCTGCCTTCTCGGCTGTAGTTGGTAGGGTCTTCTTGGGTAGGCGCATCAATGTTGGGTCACATGGGAATGTGTGAAGAAGCCTCATTACTATAAACTCAAAACAAGATCACTTTAAGCTGGGCATAGTGGTGCACACCTGTAATCCTAGTGACTCCAGAGACAGAGGCAGGAGGATCACAAGTTTGAGGCCAGCCTGAGCAACTTAGAAAAATCCTGTCTCAAAATAAAAAGAGCTGTAGACGTAGCTCAGTGATAAAGTGCCCCTGGGTTCAATCTCTAGTACCAGGAAAAAAATTAAAAAACAAGATCACATTAGAAGAGTTGTATAGATTGTTTTGTGATTGTAAAAAGTGCATATGTCCCACATTGGAGGGAGAATGCATGGCCAGAAGGGGGATTGCTGGGTGGTACATTTCATATGTAGCCATGACTTGGCTGATGGCCCTCCAGAAATGTATTGGTGCCCATTTCTACATATTTTCCAACAGCACTGCCTTTCCTTCTCACTTTGGCTAACCTGATGGAAAAACACAGTATCTGGTTTTCATTTTCATTTCTTGAATTATTAGTGATGAGGACTGTGTTTGCATTTGCTTTGTGTTTCTGATTTTGCAAATTATCCATTCTGTTCTTTTTTGCTTATTTATTTCTTGGAATTATCTTTGTATTAGTGTGGACGCTTGTTCTTTGTCTTAAGTCTCTTGATGACTTTGTTATTCTTTTTGGTTACTTGGTAGCAGATGACTCTGGGAGGACACACAGTTCCCCTCATTACCCACATGGTCCCCTCTCCTCTGTTGGGGTGGCTCATCAGCTTCCAGATATCCTCAGGACCCAGGCTTTGGGCAGGGGGGAGGGGATCTCTTGGTCAGTTTGGATTGCTATAACATTGTAAATGAAGGACTACCAGCACACATTTACTTCTCATGGTTGGTCAAGACTGGAAGCCTGAGATCAGGAACCAGCATGATTGGGTTCTGGGGAGGGTGCTCTTCTAGGTTGCAGATAGCTGCCTTCTTGTATCCTCCCATGGTGGACAGCAGAGAGAAGCAGACTCTCCCAGCTCTTTTAAGGGGACTAATTCCATCCTGAAGGTTCTCCTTTCATGACTTCATCAAATCCTGCTTTTTTCCTGTAGGGCCCCACCTCCTAAAACTACCACACTGCGGGGTAATGTTCAACATGAATTTTGGAGGAACATAAACATTCAGTACATAACCTGGGATGACCTCTCCTCAACCTCCCTTCTTTCTCTGTCCTCAGGATTCAGAGTCACGAACTCCTCAACCCAGATCCTGTAGGGCCGGAGGGTGCAGTTTCATATGGGCTGTAGGTGATGGTAGTGCTCAGTGTCCTGTGTGTCCCCTGCCTGCCTGTCTCCTTCACATTGGCACAGGCACCGTTGTTAGCATGATGCGAGCAGCTCACAGCGTACATGTGATCTACACCCTGGTGCTGGTGACCGAGGCATCTTGTGGCCTCTGTCTGATCTTCAGTCTGAAGCTTTTGCTTCTGAAAGCTTTTGCTCGCGCATGGTTTTCCCTTTGCCATTGGGACTGACACGTGTTCACCTTTGTCTCTAAATGCATCTGGTGTTATTGCCTAGAAGAAATGCAAAGCTTCTTGACAGTAAAGGATGAAGACCCTTGTGTTTTCTACCCTTACCTGCCTGGTGGAGAAGAACTATCCAAGCATGACAGATGGCCATGTCACCTTTGTTCTGGATGTACCCGAGCTCCTCTGGTGTTTTATTTATATGTTGCAGCTCAGTTCCTGGTTTGAAACTGTCACATCAGATTAACTCACTTCCAGCCAGGAAGGCTGTAAATACACTTGATGGGGCAAGAAGTGTCAGTACCCTAGAATGCAATCTGCACTGGGTGCCTGAAGGGCCCCACCCACTCCATGCTGGCCACAGGAGGACAGGCCTCCAGCCGGAAGGGGAGGGGGCCTAGCACCCTATGTCCACCAGGCTGCACCTGCCATGCCTTCTGCTGCTACCCTGCATGTTCCACTTGCCTCTGGCCCTTGCTCTAATCCTCCTTTTTTTCCCAACCTCTTGCCTCCTTTCAGAAATCAACAGCAGTGATATGTCGGCCCATGTCACCAGCCCCTCTGGCCGTGTGACTGAGGCAGAGATTGTGCCCATGGGGAAGAACTCACACTGCGTCCGGTTTGTGCCCCAGGAGATGGGCGTTCACACGGTCAGTGTCAAGTACCGTGGACAGCATGTAACCGGCAGCCCCTTCCAGTTCACTGTGGGGCCACTTGGTGAAGGGGGTGCCCACAAAGTTCGGGCAGGAGGCCCTGGCCTGGAGAGAGGAGAAGCAGGAGTCCCAGGTGAGCATTCCAGCAGCTTGGAGGAGACTGAGAGTTGTTGGGGATGATAACCTGCACCCCTGGCTCTAAAGGGAAGACTTCTCATGGATGGCATTCAGGGACATTCCTTATTCAAGGCTTCTGTGGCTAAGTAAGTTTGAGAATTGCCCAGAGCTAAATAGGCTTCCAGGACTTCTCAGAGTCTATAACTTATTAGTGTGGATCTGAAGCTCTAAGAGGGTCTGATGTGCTATGGAACACACTAGAATGCTGCAAAACCAGTGGTCAGGGTCTGTTATTCCCATCCTTTTCTGGCTTCATTTGAGTGTATTCAAAAGATGCCAATTATATGTGAACTTAGTAATCATGGGCAGTGCTTAGGAGACAACAGGGATGGCCCTTGGTTGGATCCTGCCTAAGGTTAGAGAAAGAGGAAAGGGCTGGTGAGGGACTAAACCAAGCACTACAGATTTGAACAGGTAGAGGGGCTGGGGCTGTCCTGGGCTCAGTCATTAACCCAGTGTTTTTTTACTCTCAGCTGAGTTTAGCATCTGGACCCGGGAAGCAGGTGCTGGAGGCCTCTCCATCGCTGTTGAAGGTCCCAGTAAGGCTGAGATTACATTTGATGACCATAAAAACGGATCATGTGGTGTGTCTTATATTGCCCAAGAGCCTGGTATGTACTCAAGGGTTCACTGAATACATTTTGCCTATTCAGAGATGGTTAAGTTACAAGGAAAAGAAACCCATCTAACTCAAGTATCCAAGGCATTTGTGGGAGGAGGCACAATAGAGAGCTTTCTAGAAAGCCAGTTGCAGAAAATAACTGGGTCTCAACGGGGTGAGGACTCTTGTTATCATTATCTTTCACAATTCTTTCTCCATTGGCATATTTGCTTTTTTGCTTTCTTTCAAATGCTTCTGTCAACTCATGGCCCATGACTGGGACATTTGCCCCAGGAGAGTGGCCTAGGTGTCTAAGTTCCCTAGAGCAAGGTTCTTCATCTTTTGTGTCACAGGGACCCTTTTGGCATCTGGTAAAGTATATGGGGTCTGTTCTTAGGATGATATTTTGAAACAAAATATATTAGGTTATAAAGGAAATCAATTATATTAAAATGTAGTTATCAAAATTAAGACATAGGTATTGATAGTTATCAGATATGCACCATAACAATATATGTTTCTCTTAATACATTAAATCATAAGATTTAGTGATAGTATACTAATGAGCTTAATTTCAAAGTAGTGATCAGTGCAAATGATATATCAAAATATCTATAAAACTTAAAATGGTATAAAAAAATACCATTTTTTTTTAGTGATAAGTCCAGGTACTTATCCTGTGCTGTGATTTCTTATTGACATTTATAAAGACTAAATTTCATTAAAGATGTGATTTTCCTCCCCCATTCGAGTCTGTGTATCTCCTGGATTCTCTGCATAGACCCTTTGGGGACCCTGTGGGCCTAACCCTGCCAAATTAAGAAAATTATACTGACTCTTTCATTTAGCTATGGCCATGGAGCAAAGCTGTGTCTCTCTGAAGACATTTTATTCCTAGCTAAGAAGCCAGAGGCCACTCTGGAGGTGCCTTTTCAGAATCTGTGAAATGATGGAGCTTTCCTATCCCTACAGGTAACTACGAGGTGTCTATCAAGTTCAATGATGAGCACATCCCTGAAAGCCCCTACCTGGTGCCCGTCATCGCACCCTCTGACGACGCCCGCCGCCTCACTGTTATGAGCCTTCAGGTGAGACGCAAGGAAGCATCCGTCTCCTTGGCCACAGGCCAGCCAGTGAGACCCCTGGACTCCTGAGGCCTCTTCAATCCCCCCTTGGGTGCCAAGGCCCCTAGTTTCACTTTGACCTCAAGTCTTGCCCCTTGTGGGCAAGCATTCCCATGACAGGGTCAGCTCCCCACGTACTCAGAGCAGAAAACAGTTGGGTCAATCAACAGCACACCTCAATGTTTAGGGACAAGTTTACTTTTAAATATTTATTTAAGAGAAACAAAGGAAGCCTGTTAATAATTGGTTAAGGGATAAGGAGAGACTTATACAAAACAGACAGAAAACCAGCAGCCCAGTGATATTTAACCTGCTCTTGTTTGGCTGCTTTTTCCCTCAAAGTCAATTGCGATTTATTTTATAGGATGATTTTTTTTTTTTTTTTTTTTAAATAGAATAGTTGTAGCAGCCAGGATCCAGCTAGCGTGAGGTGGCAGAGTAAGGTCTCTCTCACCTCAAAAACTGGGCTGTTGACTGCAGTTGACTGAATCTCCACCCTGATCTAGAGGCAAATGGTTGCTTTGTCCACCCTACTGGGATACCAGGAGATGCAGCAACCCCCAACCCCATCTCAAACAGGTCACTTCAGTGTTGCATTGGCACCTTTAGCCAAACTAAGAGCCACTGGGGATGCATCTGCATCTGTTGCTCAGGACATTGAAAAATAATTTGTGTGAAATCAGAAGTAGCATTTAAGTTGTAGAATAACACCAGATTCTCTAAAGAGGATTTCTGGTTAAGGGGCTTTCTATGTAACCTTTGGCTGCCCTGAGCTCTCAAAAATATTGGCTTGATTAATATCCACTTTAGTATCTCAGATTGGTGATATCATTGCATCTAGTTCCATAGGCTTCATTTACATTTGAGATTCTAGTCTTATTCTGGGGGAATTGGGATACTCCTAGATATTCCAAATGTTAGTCTTTCAGGTAGGGACTGAGATAGAACCCAAACCAGCATCATAGTTCATAGATTGAAGAGGCCTCATGTGGAGAATACCAAGGGTACTAACTGGTCACTGTGGTGTAGATGTATTTCTTGTGTTTCATTTAAAGGCTTCTTAACAGAAGCTTCTTTTGTGGCTGGCTTAAACCTTTGGAGGGAGATAAACCCAGCATTTGTTGAGGGCATAGAGCTGCCTTCATGCATCTCAAAGATTCCTTTTGGATCTTCTGAGGTGTTTATCTCCCTCTTGAGGATTTAGCAGCAAGCAGATTCAGGTAAAGTAAATGATTGTGTCCAAAATGAGCTGGTTTGGAGAAAGCCTCTTCCCAAAACCTTTGCTATAGAGTCCTCACATCACAGTTTGGTTATAAATATTTCAGTAAGCGTGCAGGAGGCCTTCTATCAAGCTTTTGCAACCAGCTGCTACAGCAAGAGGGACCTGTGTGTCTACATCGTCCCCTGTTCTTTCTGGGTTATTTGATACTGAGGGTTGTGTAAATTATTTATCAGAGCCTTAGTGGAGGCCTGCACAGCCACATCTGGTGCTGGTTAGGTAAGAGAGGCATGTATTGTTTTGTCTTGCTTTCGAGACTTTGTAGCAAATTGGAGTCGGCTGACATTTCGTGGAGGAGGGAGTGGAATAGGGGTGATCTGGTGATCAAAGAATCCTTAATTTTGTGTAACATCCTTCCTCCCCAGGCTGTAAGCTCTAGGCAGCACAGTAGAGTAGAACATTCTGCAGCAATGGAAATGTTCCCCATTTTCACTGTGCTGCATGGTAGTCCCTAGTCACCTGTGGCTGGCTATTGAGCACTTGAAATGTAACTAGAATAACTGATAAGTGGAATTTGGAATTTTATTTAATTTTAAGTGCTTTGAATGTGATTTGAAATGTCAAATCCAGATATTCATTTTATGGTCTATACACACGTAGGCTACATGTATTTTTAATTTATATTTATATATTTACATACATACATATAACCACATGTGGCTGGTGACTATCTAACTGGACAACACAGCTTTAGGGACTTGCTACTAACATATGGTCCTTAGACCAGCACCCTTGGCATTTAGAAATGCCAGCACCTGGAAATTTAGAAATGTCAAATCCAGTCCCCACTGAGAATCTGATCAGATCTCCTGATGATGTGCTTGCGTGGGAAGTGTGATCTCTGCTTTCATTAGTGTCTGAGGTGTGGCTGTCTATAATCAAGTTTAAAACAAAAAAGTGCTGACTTATAAAATTTTGCTGCTTGGGATTGGCCAGTCTTAATGTGTATTAAATGTTGCTGTTTGATTTAGTTCCTAAGTACCTAGTTCTCTGTCTTTCCAGGGGAGGCTACTGGGTCCCAAATAGAACATGTGGAGTAAAACTGACCCAGAGAAAAGCAAAAACTACATTTCTCCCCATTGTTTTGTTTTGTTCTTTTGTTTTCATTTGTTTATTTTGTTTTGGTGGGATGGGTGTAGGCATTTTGAAGCCTTTCTGTGTATGGGCCAGGCCTTGTGCTTCATTTAATCCTCTCAACAGCTCTCTGAGATAGATGAATTTATTACGTCCATAAATAATGTATTATTTATGTAAGTAATTCATCATTACTTACTGAGACTCAAAGAAGGATCAGCAGCTTAGTCATATTGCTAGGAAAGGGTAGTAAACCGAGGTCCAGCTGATTCTTCACCTCACTGTACAGTCTTGCCTGCATTAAATGTTCTTTCCATTCCTACTCTTGAGAGAAAAAAGAACAGTGGTATAAAACTTTAAGTTAGGGAGTGCATAGTTTGGTCAGCTTCTAGGCTTCTCTTAAAGGGGAGTTCTTATAACTTGCCTGGCCCACACAAGGCCCTGGGTTCGATCCCAAGTGCAGAAAAAGAAAAAAAAAAAGAAAGAAAACAAAAAGGAGTTCTTGGTTTATTTCAGCTTGGGAGATACTGCATTTTCTGGCCTGTATAGGTCTTGTTTGAGATGATTAGACAGTAGTCTGATTGACCAAGCTGTCCCAACCCTCCAACCCCATGAGCTGTCTCTTCCAGCCTAAACCAGCCTAAATGGTTTGAGTACAAAACTGTGCAGATGTGTGTCTTGGTTTTCTTGAACTCTGTACTAGAAATGTACGTGATCTGTTCACACTCTTTTGTTGTCAGATGTTATTTGGAAACATATTCTGGGCCTATTTGCATGAATACTGTCATCTGGAGTCCTGCGTCAGGTCGGTGTGTGCCACTGAGCAGGAGCTCCAAGGGCCATAACCTGTCTAATATATTAAATTCTCAGGAATCGGGATTAAAAGTTAACCAGCCAGCATCCTTTGCTATAAGGTTGAATGGTGCAAAAGGCAAGATTGATGCAAAGGTGCATAGCCCCTCGGGAGCCGTGGAGGAATGCCATGTGTCTGAGCTGGAGCCAGGTAAGCAGGAGGCCCGCAGAACATCGCTGTGTGTATGCGTCCCAAGTCTCCTCACTGCCAGCGACATTGTTTCTAAATTGTGATTTAGACATGGAACACAGAGACTCTTGACTTTGGCATAAAATTCTTTTTTTCTTCTTCCTCCTTCCTCCTCCTTTCCTCTTTGTTCTTCCTTTTCCTTCTCCTTCACAAATTCTGCTTTCCTTTCTGTTTGTTTTTCAGATTCTTTTCACTTGACATTCTTTGTGATTTTTCTCTCATTTTAACAAAATCTTACAGATTTTTGTTACATTGTTGACCTTATGACATAAGTAAGTATACTTTGATTTCATTTTGCTGTGAGGAAAAAGTAGATCAACGTTCATCTGTAAAGTGAAAAAAGAGAATCTAGGTTCTTGAGCTTATTACCCTAAGATTTTCTTTCGTGGTGCCCTGATATATGGAATTCTCTGACAACGATCAACTTTAAGGAAATCATCTTTAAGAAGTGAACATTTATTGAGTGTCAAGACATGGCAGGAAGATGAGGCTGGGGAATACATGCTCCCTGCCCTCAGAGAACTGCTCAGAGCTAGTGAGCAAGGCCAGAAACCCGCACCACCTGGTAATGACCCCCGATGGTTCCTTTGTCACAGGAGAACTGATCAGCAGCTGATGAAAATGTTAGAGCAGGAGAGAGAAGCAGGATCAAAGTGTCTGTTAGCAGTGATTTGATTTGGTCATTCAGCTGTGTTCTCCAAGCTCCGAAGATCTTGACTCTTTCTTCTGATTTATGGGTCATTGTGAGGCTGGCTTTGGTAGCAAGATGGCTGCAGCAGTACCAGATTTCCAGTCTTCACACTGCACCAACCAAGAGACATTTTCCTCTCAGAATTCGTTTTCAGAAGTCTGAGAGATGCCTTTTCTTGAAGTCTCCAGCAAAGCTCCCCTTCCATCTCACTGAACAGGGACACATGCCCATGACTAAGTCATTTACTGTAGCTAAAGAAATGGCCTTATACTAATTGACTTAGACTTGAAGAAAGAAGGATTTTCTTTATTCATTCAGGGCCCACATCTGGACATGAGAATAGGTACCCAGCTGGGAACTGCTAGGGGAAGTACAGAGCTGAGAGGATTAGGGTGGGCAGCTCTAGGATATTGATCTCTGGAGAGTACTTGATTAAAAAAGAAGAAGGTTTGGGTGGAACTTTGAGGGATCAGATTCTACAGGAGATGAAGGTACAAGGAGCCAGGGAAGAATTGAGAGACTAACCAGAGAAGAGGAGGTGAAGGAGGGCAGATGCTCTGCATCCCAGGCTGGAGAGGGTCACCTGGGGCATAGGAGATGGATAATCTAGGTGCCCACTTCAGTTAACAGATTCTCTTGCCACATGCTGTGACCCACACTCTCAACAACAAAACCTGGCTGTTGCCTGTGGTTGTTAGCTTTGGGCTTAATTAAAGAGCATTAATGCTAGTTGGAACCATTTATTCCCCTTCAAGAGGCCAAGTAGCGAGACATTGTGAGAAGTGAGCTTTTCATAAAGGAAGTGTCCTGAGGCAGAGGCCAGAGTGTGAAACCAAATTTGAGACTTGGATGCATTTCCCAAAGGGCTGACCAGGAAAACACAAATAGACCCGTCTGGTTTTGAAATCCACCGTGTTATGTGCCAGGCTCCCAGCATTTTTAAATGATTTTAAGGGTGGCCTGCAGTTCTGTGTCCTCACCTAACTCCAGCGTGTTCATCTGCCTGGTTTCATTCTGTGACTTTGCTTATTCTCCTAGATAAGTATGCTGTTCGCTTCATCCCCCACGAAAATGGCATCCACACAATTGATGTCAAATTCAACGGGAGCCACGTGGTTGGAAGCCCCTTCAAAGTTCGCGTTGGGGAGCCGGGACAAGCGGGGAATCCTGCCCTGGTGTCTGCCTACGGTGCAGGGCTTGAGGGGGGCACCACAGGTAAAATATCATTGCACTTCTTATCTTTAACAAAGCCAGCTCCAGGGGCAAAGCCAGGTGGAAATCTCCAAGGCCTGCAGAAGCCACCTGTACACTCCCCCTGGGAAAGTGGAGTAGCATGTACTTTGGAGACTCTTGCTGTCCACCATTGTTTTGGGAGATATGGCTTGACCTGTGATAAATCCAGAGTGAGATCTCTGTGGCAGTATTATCATGTCATTACTGTTCATTGTGGCCCAGATGTCTTCCTTCACCAAGTTCCTGGACCCCAGGGACAAGACACTGATAGTTGGGGAATATACCTGGTGTCATTAGTTACGAGTTTTTTTGCTTGCACAGAATTCACTGGTATCATCCCTCCCCATCAGTTCTTCTGGTCCCTGACTCCCAGAAATACACCAAAACAGTGTAAAATCTGTCATGGCCCATTTCCTCCTCCTTTATTCTCTACTCCTGAAATGGCTCAAGAATTCTGAAACTTTTTGGACTCATTACAATATATTTTTAATGTTTGCTCCATTAAAATGGGACATATCTGATTCTGGAAACATAGGAACTGAAGAAGGATTTAAGGTGAAATTTACTTCTTTCCTCTGCTCCTGCCTCTCCCTGGCCCCTGGTCCAGGAGCAAATACCCCTAGCAGCTCAGAGAGACTTTCACACCATCTGCCTATCTCTCATTTGTCTTCATTCTTGCTGGCTAGGTTGGTTAGCTACTTCTTTAAATGGTCAGATGCACGGTTTTGCTTCTTTTATTTTATGGAAGTGATCTTATTGCACAGATTGGTGAGCAGCTTGCTTTCTTCCCTTGACATCTTAAATATTTTTCTGTATCCAAACATACAGCTCCACCCCACCCCTCCTTCTAAATGCCTGTAGTTGGTATTCATACTGTGAACTAAAAGCTGTTTGCATGGTCAACTAGAGATGGACATTGGCTGATATTCACTGTGTCACTGTTTCAGAAGATGCTGGGGTGGGGAATTTGTCCTCTTGGGTGTCTCTGCAGGGGAAATCTGTAGTGGGAGACTCATTTGCATTTGATGTTACTTGGGGCCCTCTTGGGAAAGCAGCCCATGCTGTTTTTCTCAAGTCCCTTGTTTGTGTGCATCTCTCCTCTTAGTTCTCCCGCCCCCACCATGCTGCCCTGCTGTGAGTGGGATGGAAAAAGAAATATCTTCCTCGTGGGAAAGGGGATGAGTGGCCATGGTTCCTGGCATGCAGTCCTGGATCAAAAGCATCCTAAGTGCCCAAGGGTCCCTACTCAGATTCATGAGTGACTGATGGGCTGGCATGCTCTTGGGGACTCCAACCAAAGCAATGGCCTTAACAACCCCCCACCACCACCAGGATGGCATTAATGCTGCTGGGCTCCTCAGACCATCCAGATTGGCCCCCACTGAACTCTGAGCCAGCAGCTTGCCCTTTGTGAAGGGCCTTAGGTGAAATCCATTTTGACAGTTGAGGAAAGGGAATCAGAGAGGTCCATCACCCCCAGACTCATTCAGGTAGGAGGAGGCAGAACCAGGACTCAGTCAAGGTCCATGATCTGAGAGCCTGGTGATAGCCTAACCCCCAGGCTGTCCCTCCTCCCTAAGTGCCCACTTACCTGGAGGGCACGCACGCACCTTCAGCTTACTTTGTGGAGTGTCCTAAACTAACACCCTGTCTTCCCAGCAGCCCTAGAATAATTTCCAACAGTACAGACATTGACCCTTGGCAGGCTACCCACTGAGCACTGAGGTGGGGTCCTGCTTCTTGAGTGCACAGCAGCCTGTGTTCCCTGTGCCAGCCAGCAACCATCTGATCCCCCTGTTGGCTCATGCCTACAGTACCCAGCCTCTCCCACTTCCTCTTGGCAGATTGCATGCCCTTCTCCAGAGCTCGGATTTCAGGCTGAGCTTTGCAAGCACTGGACACTGCAGGGAGAAGGAGCCTGTCTTGGAGGGAAGTTTCTAGCCAGGAGAGGAGAGTACAGAGCATGCTTGTTTCAAACCCTGTGAAAATATTGCTCTTGTCAAGGGGAAGGTGTCTTGTTTTTTCTAGCCCTCCCATTCCCAAGCCTTTCCCCAAATATCCATGTGGAGGTTACACAGCTGCAGTGTGAACGGATGAAGAGGTATCTGCTCTGCTGCTGAAGGGTCCAGCATGCTGACCTTCAGCACAAAGCAAACCTCCCTGTGTTTATCTTGGGTGGGTTTGTTGTATGTGTTGGCTCAAACTTTCAATGGTCCATTCTGCAGATTTGGGAACAGGGCATGAGGAGAATTTAGGGCAGGGCTCTGCTGAGGCTTGGAGGTCAGGAGTTAGACTAGGGAGGTTTCCACTCTTTGGAGCAACTGAGTGTGTTTCCTGATAAATGCTCCAGAACCCCAAGATACACCCTATGCCTTCTCCTCCTCTACCCTCTCTCACCTTAAAGACTAAGTTGCACTGCATTAAACATGCACTGAACTCACAGGAACTCAGCCAGGCTGGGGTAGGGGAAGACCGTCATGTTGAGGTGTTTGTTGGTATCAGATCCTGGTTGTAGCTGGAGGTGGTGGTAAGAGACTTCTGTATGCAGGCTTTCTCTCTCCTGTCTTCTCTCAGACAGGTGTCTTAGTTCCAAGTCGGACAGACCTTATATCTACATACCAGTTCTGCTGGTCCCCAGCTGTGTAACTCTGGACAAGTTCTTTGCCTTTCTGTATCTCCAATTCATTTTCTGTGAAGTGGAAATAAAGAAGCCTAGTTAGTAAGCTTATTCTGAGTATTAAAGTAGCTAATAAATAGCCAGGTAGCTCTTGTCCTGTACTTCCTAATTTCCTTTTCCCACCTTATCATCATCTTTGCCTTTTTGGGCTCTCAGAGTCAGAATGAACTGATTTATTTTTCCCCCCCCTCAGGAATGAAATAACTTGTTAAAAAGAGTGGGGTGGGGGGAGTGGAGCTGGACTAGACATAGAGCTCAGTTGGTAGAATGCGTGCCTCATGTGCACATGGCCCTAGGTTCAATCCTCAGCACCACAAAAAAAGAAAAAAGAATGGTGCTGGGCTGGGCAGCTTAGTGGTAGAGCACTTGCCTAGCACATGTGAGGCACTGGGTTTGATCCTTAGCACCATGTAAAAATAAATAAATAAAGGTATTGTGACAATCCAGAACTAAAAATTAAAAAAGAAAGAAAGAGTGGAGCTGCCAGGTGTGGTGACACATGCCTGTAATCCCAGTGATTTGAGAAGCTGAAGCAGGTGGATCTCAAGTTCAACAACTTAGTGAGGCCTGAAGCAACTTAGTGAGACCTTTGTCTCAAAGTAAAAAATGAAAAGGGCTGGGGATGAGGCTCAGTGGTTAAGCACCCCTGGATTCAATCTCTGCTACCTAAGGGGGCAGGGGTGGGGTGGGTGGGGGGAGTTGGAGCTTCTGTGCACTATAGCCAGGCCTTTTAAACTTCATTTTACAAATATCTTTCCTTATCGCCACCTTACAGCTACTTCCTGGACATACCACCCCTTTGTTACAGACTGTCTGCTTCCCCACAGTCCCCAGCCTGGCAGCTGCTGCTTAAGGGGCTTCTCAGCTGCATAGATTAGGAACCATGACAAAGTTGAGATAGTGGGAGGGACTTGGGACAGGAGCCTCTGGAGCTTCCAGAAACAGCTGGGCTGTGTTTGAAGGTCATACAATGGCGGTTCCTTTTCTTTTATTGATAACCAGAACAATAATTCCTTCTCTGATCCGAGGGCTATAATTAAACCAAAACATTTCCCAACTGGGGTGGTGTCCAGGGCTCTGGCAAAAATGGCCTCCTGTGGGGGTGCTGTGCTAGGGATGCCCCATAGAGGGCACTGTAGGGGGCACGCAGCTGATGTTCTGACACCCAAGCAGCCCCACTGACCCCTGGAGTAGAGAGCGGGGAGTGGGATTTTTGTGGAGCTGTGGGCTTAGGTAGGAGTGCTTTCATGGCCATCAGTTGGTGTTCTCTTTTGGGCTTTTGTCACAAGCAGGATGCCCTGGGACAACCAAGAGGTTAGGTATCCTGAGGTTGCAGCTTGGGCACCTCCACTGTCTTTCCGGTGGCCAAGAAGGGCCTGGGCACCAGAGCCTTGCAGACTTGGTTCAGATGCTGCTTGCTACTTACTGATGATACATCATGACTGGCAAGTGGTCAAACCTCCCTTAGTCTTAGTGCCATTCTGTGAAAGGGTCCCATGCACATGCATGTAAAATAATGCCAGGCACAGGGTCTGCAGCTTATGTGGGGTCTGTGGTTCTCAGCAGGAGCTCCTCTTTTATTCCTGTTTTTGTTGCTGGAATTCATGGCTGGCAGATCACAGTGATTACTCCAGTTTTCGGGATGGGGTGCAGGGCAAGGAGCCTGAAGAGGAAGAGAGGGGACACTGGGCCTCCTTGGCATCTCTAAATCTACCCAAAGGAGAAAAGAAAGGTCAAAGGGGCCCACGCCTCTCCTCCCCGCCTGGAGGCAGAGCTGGGCCACTGGCTGAAGTAGTACTTTAGGCTCGCAATGATGACTCAGGCTCCTCGCCCTCAGCCACGGCTCATGCCGGGAGGAGAGAACAGGGTGTCCAGGCAGTTTACACTTGTGGGCGAAATGTCAGCCACACTCCTGCCTCACCCTGGGTTAGGAAACTACCCACCCAGGGCCCAAGGTTCTCTGTGCCAGAAGTCAGAGCTGGACCAGTGGGTTCCCATCAAGGCAAGCCCTCTTTGAGGAGACATATGTGTACACTACCATTGCTTTAACACCCCCAGGAAAGCCCCCCACATAACACCCCTCATCCCTCCAAATCATTTACAAGTGCATTCCCTTTTCCTCTCTCGCAGGCATCCAGTCTGAATTCTACATCAACACCACCCGAGCAGGCCCAGGGACGTTGTCTGTCACTATTGAAGGCCCATCCAAAGTTAAAATGGATTGCCAAGAAACCCCAGAGGGGTACAAAGTTATGTACACGCCCATGGCTCCTGGAAACTATCTGATCGGTGTCAAATATGGCGGACCCAACCACATTGTGGGCAGTCCATTCAAAGCCAAAGTGACAGGTAATGATGAACAACCTCAGAGTTATTCTGCCCTATGGAGCTAGTCTTATCTGACTAACAATATGATTTTAGATATTAAATCTACTTTGAATCTTGAATGTAAAGAAATAGTATGAAGGGCTGAGGATGTGGCTCAAGCGGTAGTGCGCTCACCTGGCATGCGTGCGGCCCGGGTTTGATCCTCAGCACCACATACAAACAAAGATGTTGTGTCCACCAAAAACTAAAAATAAATATTAAAAAAAAAAAAAGAAAAGAAATAGTATGACATTCCAGAGGCCAGTGTGTTGAAAACTTGCAAAAATAAGTCCACATAGTGAGGCAGTATAGACGTGAAGAAAGCAGGTTAGATGGGTGTTTTTGTTTTTTGATGTTTTTTTTTGCCCCCCCTATTAACAGAAAGAAGAAATGTTTACATACTTGAAATCTAATGTATTTGTTTAATCAGAGCCTGAAAAAAAAACTTTCTAACCTTTTCGTTTGAAATAATCAAAAAGTTTTTTTTTTTTTTTAATTTATAAGAACATAGGCCAAGTGCAGTAATCCCAGCAACTTGGGAGGCTGAGGCAGGAGGATCACAGGTTCAAGGCCAGCCTCAGCAATTTAGTGAAGCCCTAAGCAACTTACTGAGACCCTGTCTCAAAATAAAAAATGCTGGGGATATAGCTCAGTTGTTAAAGCATCCCTAGGCTCAATCACCAGTAAAAACAAAACAAACAAATTTACAAAACGATGTCTCCTTCCAAACACTGAGGGGAAAAATGCCAAATAGTAAAAACAACTTCACAAACTGGCACCCAAAGGTAACCACCTTACATATTGTAGTAAATCCCTTCCATGATGTCATGATTCACTGTTAGATAAGTAATATAGGTTCATCACAGAAAAATGAGAAAACTTGGGAAAAACATCCTCTGTCATGTATAGAATCAATTATGTCCTTTCAATGTGTATATGTCCTGCTTATACATAGAGTATTTTATATGAATGGAAAGGTAAATTCTGCAGGGTGGCAGAATTTGTCAGCTAAGGCCAGACTGGTCCATTTGCCCAGAAAGGCAAATCCTAGTTGTATGTATGGGTGGAGCCTCAGGGGATTTGGAAGACACTGTGGTTATGGGATATGGATATATAGTGGCTTTTGTATCCAGGTGTTGGGCTGTGGGGATCTTTCTGGGACTTTTACATGGGATACCTGCCTGTCCTCTGACTGAGAGTCCTCTGGTCTGGCCATGCATCCCTCCCTCCTGCTCTCCCATGTCCTAGGTCAGCGTCTGGTCAGCCCGGGCTCATCCAATGAAACCTCGTCCATCCTGGTGGAGTCAGTGACCAGGTCATCAACAGAGACCTGCTATAGTGCCATCCCCAAGTCATCCTCGGATGCCAGCAAGGTGACTTCCAAGGGAGCAGGGCTCTCAAAGGCCTTCATGGGACAGAAGAGCTCCTTCCTGGTGGACTGCAGCAAAGCTGGTAGGTAGCGTGGTTCCACTGGGGTGGGGTGGAAGGGAATGGGGCCTAGACAGGCCAAGTATCCTCCTACACTTTGACCTCCCCTGCTAAGGCCTTCAGTAACGTCCACCCCCCCCCTCTCCCTTGCCCCATGCAACCCAACCACCATCAAACAACCATGTTTCTTGCCCTATTCTCCTGCACTTAATGTCTATACCTGTTTGTTCTCTCTTTGCCCCTTGATTCTTTGAGATGACCCCAAGGTAGTCATGAAAGGCAGTAGTATCCCCATTACAGATGGGCAGACTGATTTGGTTAATCTAGTCCCTTCTCTTCCACTAATTGCTCTAATTTCCAGCTGAACTTGGGTGTCAGGGGTCAGTTGCCCAGGTTCTGACATCCAGAGCACCTGGACTAGAAACCTGGCTCTGCTATTTCACTTATTTGTTCTCAATGCTGGGCACATGAACCTCACTGTCAAGCTCTGTAAGTCTCTGTTGGTAATCACCACAGCCTCCCACCTGCTCAGGGGCCCAGCGTCCTCACAGAAGCTCAACAGGCAGTCCCAGGCTTGTCTCCCTTGATTCACGTGTTCTCTTTCTGCTGCCCGGAGTGACCACTTTTCCCTTTGCTCTTCAGGTTCCAACATGCTGCTGATTGGAGTCCATGGACCCACCACACCCTGTGAGGAGGTCTCCATGAAGCATGTGGGCAACCAGCAGTACAATGTCACATATGTTGTCAAGGAGAGGGGGGATTACGTTCTGGCCGTGAAGTGGGGGGAAGAACACATCCCCGGCAGCCCTTTTCATGTCACAGTGCCTTAAAATAGTTTGCATCAAATCCTGGGAGGAATTCTTATGGTTGCTTTTATCGCTTGTTTGTAATTCATTTTATACCATGTCCTCCAGCCTGTTGGTAGGTCTAAATCCCATCCCAAAACACTACCATTCTAAAGTGCCTTCAGAAATAAGTCCTAGACTTGACTCTTGAGGGATGCATTGGGTAATCATAAGAAATGCAGATTTGTCCAATGGACTAAGAAGATCCAACGTATACTCAGTTCACCTCAGACCTTGGGGGCACAGGTCACTGCAGACAGACCAAGAATATGGGGAAGACTAACATTTTTAAAAAATGAAACTGGCCATCCTAAGCTACAGGTTTGCTGTTGAGCCTTTACAAAAAAAAAGACAGGGGGTGAGGGTGGGGGTGGGAGGGGGCCGGAAAAAAGAGGAGACCTAGTTTAGGTTGTAATTTAGCAAAGGGATTCCTCCAGACCAGCTGGATCTAGTCCAGGGCCCATATTCCATAGGAAAAGGCTGTTAGGTGCTCCACCATGTTGACACTACTTCTCACCAATCACCCATTGCACTCTGGCCTCCTGACATTCTTTCTGGGCAGAGCCAATTGGTGGCACATGGCTTCCTAGTGTTTCTGCACTTCCTCTGGTGATTATTTCCTTGCAGTCATAAAAGTGTGACCATTTGGCTGCCACGGATCTGCTTTAGGTTTCCAAGTCCATTTCAGTCACTTGGTGGAGGAAATTCTGCAGTGACTAGCAGCAGCCCACTTGCCAAAGATCCCTTCTCACCAACACTAGCCCTTGCTTCTAACACACGCCCCAGTCACTTGTCAGCCTTACCAAAACCTTTAAAGTGACCTCAGGTGGGTGCACACGTTAGTGTTCGCCTCATGAAGGCCTATAAGATGACACAACACTCATAGCCACCCCTGCCAACCTTGTGGGTCACTCAGGAAAATATTAGTATAGACAGGAAAGAATGAAGCTCATGCCAACTTTTGGCTGAGTGTTGGGGAATTGTTGAGGGGCAGGGAAAGGCAGCAGCTTCTTTGGTGATCTCCCCCTTTTGGCAGAACAGTGAAAGCTGCATAGCTGACAGTTTGCATCAAATCCTGGGAGGAATTCTTATGGATGCTCTTGGGAAAACAATAAGCAGGTGCAGATTTTTTTTTTTTTTAATGGGGTATAGGGCAGTTTGCAAGCCTTTTGCAGACCTGAGCTGGCTTTGGGATTAAGTTAAAGCAATCAGGGACGTTGCCTCATGGCAGAGCTCAGATGTGTAGCTTGGGCCAGGCAGGCTGACTTTCTGATTTGCTGCTTAGTCCTAAGGAAGTGGCCACTGTCATCATGGGTGGGGTAGGGCTCTGGAGGTGTAGCAGTTGGAGGTGGGTGTTGGTGGTAAAAGTCCACCTTTTAGAAACTGGAGGCAGCCCGAAGCCTAATGTGAAGGGACCACAGGCCTTGGAAACGGGGACAGGGAAGCCAAACTGGAATCAAATGCCGACTGTAAATTGTATCTTATAACTTATTAAATAAAACGTTTGCGCCGTAAAGTTTCCCCTGGCGTTCCTGGGTGGCATCTTTTTTTCTGAATAAATGGTTTGAGCCTCTGACCAGCTCTCCCAATCCCTGACTGAAAAGGCACAGAAGAGCAACTCATTTTGACAATGAGCCTGATTGATCTCTTTCTTCAGGGAAAGGTCTGTGTTCTCCTGAGAGGCCAGGTGGCACAGCCTGAAAGGTGAGGGGACTTTGAGAAGAGGGTGTATGGACCCCAACACCAACACCTCTTGGAGAGTTCTAGATACGAAGCTCACCCAGGTAAAAGCAGGGGCAGGTGGAAGCTTTTCCTGATTACATCAGGAAGTCCTTATTTTCCAGAATGTTCTCAAACAAGAACATACCACATATCATCCCACTGCCTTAGACATGGAAGGTTAATATTCGGTGTCACCATCTGCCCTCTGTGTGCTCGTGCTGTTTTTTCTGAGAGCTTTTTTTTTTTTTTTTTTTTTTTGTGGTGGTGGTGGGGATTGAACCCAAGGCCTTATGGTGCAAGGCAAGCACTTTACCAATTGAGCTATATCCCCAGCCCTCTCTTTTCTGAGAGCTTCTGGTTGCTGAATGGCTAGGATGGGCCTGGCCCCTTGCCTCCTCCTAGCGTTCCTAACAGTCCTGTGTCACCGTGGACAGGGCTATTGGGCACAGTTTGCACACCAAATTTACAGACACAGCTTACTTGGGGTTAGACCCTGGCCCTTCTGACCCCAAATGGGAACTCTGCCCCTGTTGACACTGCTATGGAAGCAGAAGCCCCCGGGCAGTGGTTGAAAGTCCCTGCTGAGCCCCTGGCCCTCCAGTGTTGGGGCAGGAAACTGGATCTTTCCTATGTTTCTTCTGACACCAAGCTGTGAATCAGAATGGTGATTTCTTTACCTCTGAGAGGTGGGAGGAAGAAATTGGAGGGAAGGAACACCCTTATCTGTGGCTTGCACTATGAAGGACTAGCCTGGGCTCCTAGCTCAGGGGGCTGTGGGGAGTCCACTCAGGCTCTGCCATGATGTTCTGGCCTTGCCCACCGAGGAGCACAGGGACATAGCCAATGACTTCTCCACCTTCCTGAAGCCTGACCAGGCATTTTGGGAAGGCAGCATTTGTAGGTTAACAGCATGGACTTTGACATTGGTATCCCAGAATTTAAACACTGGCACCACATTTCACTGGCTCTGTGACTTTGGAGAAGTCACTTCACCCCTCTGAGCATGCCTCTCTCTGGGTGGTGATGAGGAAAAGATGAAATCCCACTGGGAGCTGTAAGGAACAGTCTGCCTGAGTCTCCCACTGCTATGGCCTATACCTGCTGTAGTATCAGGACTGTACCTAGTGGCCCCCCTACATGGGGCTGGAGCACATTTCCACTGTAAAAATTATACCAAAGATATCTCAGAGTAGAAATCTGCACACCTCTTTACTGGCCAATGGCTAGAATCAGAGGGCGACTCTTATCTGACTTGGGCTTGGCTGCCATGGAAACCTGCTGTTGTTTGTGCAAACACCTTGAAAACTTTGAAACTTGATCCCTGGACAGGCCAGGTGCCAGGTCCTTTCCCACTTTCACTAGTTGACTTTGCCCCATTCCTAGCAGGAGCTGACAGGATTGTCACTCTTCAGCCTCTAGTGGAGGTTAAGCAGACAGCAACTGGCAGGTGCTCTGCAGAGATCAATTGTCAACACAGAAGAGGCCCTGCCTGTCATGCATGGATGCCCACCTCTTCCTCATCGGGGTTCACTTCGAGACCCACTGTAGCATGCTGTAGCATGCTGTAGCATGCTGCTTTTAAGTCCTTTGGGTATAAACCAAGGAAGGAGTGGCATAGCTGGCTCAAATGGTGGTTCCATTCCAAGTTTTCTACATAAAATCCATACTGCTTTCCAAAGTGGTTGCACCATTTTGCAGTCCCAGCAGTAATGAATCATGTACCCTTTCCCCCACATCTTTGCCAGCACTTATTGTTGTTTGAATTCTTGATAATAGCCATTCTGACTAGAGTGAGATGAAATCCTAGAGTAGTTTTTTTTTTTTCAAGGTTCAGGATCTTTATTTCTTAAAATAATATTCAGCATAAAAATCATTTGAAGCTTAAACATTTTAAGAAATATCTCTAGTCATTTAAGTTCAATTTTTAAATTATTATCGTATGCAAGCATTGTTTCAATTACTTCACTTTTAAATTTAATTTAATTTTGTTTTATTTTTCAGTACTGGAAATTGAACCCAGGGCCTTGCACTTATGTGCTTTACCACTGGGTTACATCCTCAGTCCCAACCTTTTAATTTTTATTTTTGCTTTTGTTTTCAGTTTTGTTTTCTTTTCTTTTGAAGTACTAGGAATGGAACCCAGAGCCCTGCACATGCCAAACATGCTAAGCAAGAACTCTGCCACTGATCTACACCCCCAGCCCTCTCAGGGTGCTTCATGTATTTTATTTTTTTTTACTTATTTTTTTTTATTGGTTGTTCAAAACATTACAAAGCTCTTGACATATTTCATACATTAGATTCAAGTGGGTTATGAACTCCCATTTTTACCCCAAATACAGATTGCAGAATCACATCTGTTACACATCCACATTTTTACATAATGCCATATTAGTAACTCTTGTATTCTGCAACCTTTCCTATCCTGTACTATCCCCCCTCCCCTCCCCTCCCATCTTCTATCTCTACCCCATCTACTGTAATTCATTTCTCTCCTTGTTTTTTTCCCATTCCCCTCACAACCTCTTATATGTAATTTTGTATAACAATGAGGGTCTCCTTCAATTTCCATGCAATTTCCCTTTTCTCTCCCTTTCCCTCCCACCTCATGTCTCTGTTTAATGTTAATCTTTTCCTCCTGCTCTTCCTCCCTGCTCTGTTCTTAGTTTCTCTCATTATATCAAAGAAGACATTTGGCATTTGTATTTTAGGGATTGGCTACCTTCACTTAGCATATTCTGCTCTAATGCCATCCATTTCCCTGCAAATTCCATGATTTTGCCATTTTTTAGTGCAGAGTAATACTCCATTGTGTATAAATGCCATATTTTTTTTATCCATTCATCTATTGAAGGGCATCTGGGTTGGTTCCACAGTCTAGCTATTGTGAATTTTGCTGCTATGAACATCGATGTGGCAGTATCCCTGTAGTACGCTCTTTTAAGGTCTTCAGGGAATAGTCTGAGAAGGGCAATAGCTGGGTCAAATGGTGGTTCCATTCCCAGCTTTCCCAGGAATCTCCATACTGCTTTCCAAATTGGCCGCACCAATTTGCTGTCCCACCAGCAATGTACAAGAGTACCCTTTTCCCCACATCCTCGCCAGCACTTGTTGTTTGACTTCATAATGGCTGCCAATCTTACTGGAGTGAGATGGTATCTTAGGGTGGTTTTGATTTGCATTTCTCTGACTGCTAGAGATGGTGAGCATTTTTTCATGTACTTGTTAATTGATTGTATGTCCTCCTCTGAGAAGTGTCTGTTCAGATCCTTGGCCCATTTGTTGATTGGGTTATTTGTTATCTTATTGTTTAATTTTTTGAGTTCTTTGTATACTCTGGATATTAGGGCTCTATCTGAAGTTTGAGGAGTAAAAATTTGTTCCCATGATGTAGGCTCCCTATTTACCTCTCTTATTGTTTCTCTTGCTGAGAAAAAACTTTTTAGTTTAAGTAAGTCCCATTTGTTGATTCTTGTTATTAACTCTTGTGCTATGGGTGTCCTATTAAGGAATTTGGAGCCCGACCCCACAATATGTAGATCAGAGCCAACTTTTTCTTCTATCAGGTGCAGAGTCTCTGATTTGATATTAAGCTCCTTGATCCATTTTGAGTTAACTTTTGTGCATGGCGAGAGAAGGGGATTCAGTTTCATTTTGTTGCTTATGGATTTCCAGTTTTCCCAGCACCATTTGTTGAAGATGCTATCCTTCCTCCATTGCATGCTTTTAGCCCCTTTATCAAATATAAGATAGTTGTAACTTTGTGGATTAGTCTCTGTGTCCTCTATTCTGTACCATTGGTCCACCTGCCTGTTTTGGTACCAGTACCATGCTGTTTTTGTTACTATTGCTCTGTAGTATAGTTTGAAATCTGGTATCGCTATGCCGCCTGATTCACACTTCCTGCTTAGAGTTGCTTTTGCTATTCTGGGTATTTTATTTTTCCATATGAATTTCATGATTGCTTTATCTATTTCTACAAGAAATGCCATTGGGATTTTGATTGGCATTGCATTAAACCTATAGAGAACTTTTGGTAATATTGCCATTTTGATGAGGTTAGTTCTGCCTATCCATGAACAGGTTATATTTTTCCATCTTCTAAGATCTTCTATTTCTCTCTTCAGGGTTCTGTAGTTTTCATTGTATAAATCTTTCACCTCTTTTGTTAGGTTGATTCCCAAGTATTTTTTTTTTTTTATTTTTTTGAGGATATTGTGAATGGGGTGTATTTCCTCATTTCCGTTTCAGAAGTTTTGTCACTGATATACAGAAATGCCTTTGATTTATGCATGTTGATTTTATATCCTGCCATTTTGCTGAATTCATTTATTAGTTCTAGTAGTTTCTTTGTAGACCCTTTTGGGTCTTCTAGGTATAGAATCATGTCTTCTCCAAATAGTGATAATTTAAGTTCTTCTTTTCCTATTTTTATGCCTTTAATTTCTTTTGTCTGTCTAATTGCTCTGGCCAGAGTTTTGAGAACTATATTGAATAGAAGTGGTGATAGAGAGCATCCCTGTCTTGTTCCAGATTTTAGAGGGAATGCCTTCAATTTTTCTCCATTCAGAATGATGCTAGCCTGTGGCTTAGCATAGATAGCTTTTACAATGTTGAGGTAAGTTCCTGTTATCCCTAGTTTTTCTAGTGTTTTGAACATAAAGGGATGTTGAACTTTGTGGAATGCTTTTTCTGCGTCTATCGAGATGATCATATGGTTCTTATCTTTAAGTCTATTGATGTGGTGAATAACATTTATTGATTTCCATATATTGAACCATCCTTGCATCCCAGGGATGAATCCTACTTGATCATGGTGCACAATTTTTTTGATGTGTTTTTGTATCCAATTCG